GCCAGTGGGAAGACAGGCAGCAGTTTAGGCCAAAAAGTTTTCCATTGTTTTCCATTTTTCTCTGATTTTTCTCGGATTTTCCAGATTCCATCAGATCCTGGCAAGTCTTCAGCATCAGCATCTTCAGCCATTACGGTGACCAAACTCCACCAGGCCCCCAGATATGCCAAAGCCCCGGCTGCTCCGTCGGCGCACCGATGGCGATATGCCCTCCACCTTCCACTTGCAGATCCCCTCCTTGCAGTCTGGCTTGGCAGGCCCAATAGCTCCGGCAACGCGAAGCAAACATTCTAAAGCCTTGAAGAGACCTGGATTTTAGTGATGAGATCTGATGAGTTTGTTATATTTTGATATTTTAAAGATATATAAAGATATATTTTGTTGATTTTCCGTTGTTGTTTTAGTATACTTGTGTATACTGTGTATTCTGGGTCCTCTTCAGAAAATCTAAGGAGAGGAGGCTCCAATCAGATGAACCTTCGGCCCATGCCATTGCTGCCATACCAACGTGCAGTAGAAGTTCAGGTTCTTCCTGAGATTACGAGCCCCGAATCCTTCAAGGTTGACGTGTCCGTGCCAGAGATTTGTTTGCCAAATCCCAAGGTGTTGCTGCGCCGCAGCACCTTGCCAGCCTTGGACATCAGAAGTGAGGCCTTGATGCTTTCGCGCCAGTTGCATCTCGACTTTCACGAAGTGAAATTTGTTTTGCAAGAGCTCCGCAGTGAGAGCGAACACCTTCCCAATGGTGGCTTGGAATATGGAGCTTTCCAGCAGTGCTTGCAACGCATTTGTGGTGTGGAGCTGGAAGAGCAATGGGTGGTGAATGCCTACAAGGAATGTCGTGCCAGTGAGGGCCCGGTGGACTCAGAACAGCTGCTGATTTGGTACCGGGATCACATCTTCAACCTCGAAGCCTTCAAGTTGCAAAAACACTTCGCGGCCGAGAAAAGTGGAGCTGCACTGGTGACGCTAGACCTGGCCAAGAAGTTTCACTGCTCCTGCCTGGATTTGGACAAGATGAAGGTGAAGTTTGACGACTTTGATTTGGACAAGTCCGGCTTCATTGATCACTATGAGTTTGAGAAGATGATGTACCAACTCTTGCACTGTTCTAGCGAATCTGACTTCCCCAAAACGCGGCTGGACCGCTTCTGGAACGAGGCTGACAAGAATGGTGATGGCCAAATTGATTTCGAGGAGTTTTTGGAATGGTACATGAAATACTTCGGCACCTCCTATGAGAATGGCCCCATGGATGCCTTCTATGCATCATTTATGCCAGGGGTTCAGAGGTCCAGCAGCTTTGGGGAGCTCAAAGGTCACAAAGTCCAGGAGAAGATCAGCCTCAAACCCATCGTACCCGAGGTCAGCAGTCGCTGCTCAGCGCTCACTTTTTCAAAGTTCTGAGGAGTCTGAGCAGTGCTTTGGCAGATATGCAATGATGTGCACTCAGCTGCATCATCTGGCATCGCCAGGAACTGACATTTTCGGTGAACAATGGGGGCAGATGGTCCAGATGGTCCATATGATCTCCTAGATGGATTCAATTTTGGTGTTCATATGTTTTCATATCCATGACGCAGAGACGTCGAGGTTTCATTTTGGCTGCATTGGGCATCCCTGTGTCGCTATGTGTCACTGGGATTGGAGTGGAGCCTTCTGCACTTAGAGATTGGGGTGGAGCCTTCTGCACTTAGATAGGTTTCAACTCAAAAAAATGCAGATTTTGTCAGCCGTAGCCTGGTGACCTTGCTCATGCCTTTTCGATTGGGCTTGCAAATGCAAGCTCCCATGCATGCGCGTTTAACAGATGCCACGGGCTGGTTCGCACGCGCTTCTTTCTGTGGAGCTTGCGTGAAAAGTTTGCAGCTGCACATCCTTTTCGGAACGCTCGAGTGTTCAAATTTAGTCACAGCTGCATAGTTTAGTTTAATCATGTTTAATCATAGTTTAGCTCGGCTCATGTCAGGGATGTGCTTTTGCAGACTTCCATTGCTAGCTTGCAAGGACCCGACGGCTTTCGGTGCTGCCAAAGGTCTTGCAGGCAGGGGGAAACATTTTTTTCGTTTGATTCTTTTGATGGAATCGATAGAAACAAGATAAAAAGATGACAGCAGACATCCAGAAAATATCAGAAAATCAGATCTCAAATAGAACATATAGAACCCCCGTGATCCCCTTCACCACCATTTGTGCGAAAAAGGCCCCTTGATGCGGGAACCTGTACCTGCTGCGCGGCACCTTGGCTCAGCCGGTCGCTTCAAAAAGATGGGACCAGCGCTGGCACTCAGGATTCCAAGGCCGTCCGTGTCATTGCTCGAACTGGAAGCGGAGTTGGAAGCCTTGTATCGTTACACAATGGCACCTCACGTGTGGACAGGGCAGAAACTTGGCTTGAGGTCTGCCTAGGGTTTCCCTCTTAATGATCTGAGTGAGCCGCTGTAAAACGTGCCTTTGCAATCCTCCAAATGTCCGGAAAGTAATATCAATGTATCAGTGTGAATGTCATGACCGGCCCCGAGTAATCAAACACCGGGCTGCTCGTACGTAATCATATCATATAATATCATGATACATGGACGGAAGGATTTTGTGAATGTACTGTAAATTTGCTGCGTGCAAGCCTCAAAGAGATGCGCGTAAGCAGCACATAAGGTTTGGCCCTGATGGAACTGATGGAACCTGCAAGACTTGATAATCCTCTCCCCCCAATACTAAACTGGGGTCCCCCACAATAATAAACAGCTGGAGGAGTTTTAGTATTAGGAGGTATTTAATATTCGAAGGAAGTTTAGAAGTCAAACTTCCGACGGTATGGACAGATGAAAAGCAGGGCAGGGAAGAGGCAGAGAGAAGAGAAAGATTAGAAAAAAGAAGAGTAGAAGAGAAAGAGTAAGAAGAAAGAAGATGCAGATGCGCGAAAAGGTAGGAAAGTCGCGAAACACTGTGTTTTTCCACTGATTTGGGGCTCCGGAGGGTCGAAAAGTAGGCTCGCTAAAGCGGCGGGTGCGGAGCCAGCTGGCCAGATGAGAGATGAAAAGTTGCACGCCGTTGTGGCGCGAAGCACGTTTCGAAGTCAAAATGTACAAAACACACCAGGTTCGGACCACTTTTGGAAGTTGCGATGTCGAAAAAGTGCACGCTGTTGTGGCGCGAAGCAACGGCGTGCACTTTTTCGACATCCGAACCTCCAAAAGTGGAGCGAACATGTGGTGTTTTGTGCATTTTGACTTGGAAATGTGCTTCGCGCCACAACGGCGTGCACTTTTTCGACATCTGAACTTCCAAAAGTGGTCCGAACCTGGTGTGTTTTGTACATTTTGACTTGGAAATGTGCTTCGCGCCACAACGGCGTGCACTTTTTCGACATCTCAACTTTCAAAAGTGGTCCGACGCTGGTGTGTTTTGTACATTTTGACTTGGAAATGTGCACTACACTACACTACACTACATTACCCTACACTACACTCCACTACACTACACTACATTACACTACATTACATTACACTACACTACATTACACTACACTACTTTCCACTACACTTCGCGACATGACACCCGACTACATTCCCCTACACTACAAATACAACTACAACTGCACAACTACACTCCACTACACTCCACTACACTCCACTACACTACACTACACTAAATTACACTACGCTACATTACACTACACTACACTCCACTACGCTACATTACACTACAACTACACTCCACAACACTACAACTAAAACTACAGAACTACACTCCACTACACTCCACTACACTAAATTACACTACACCACATTACATTACATTACACTACACTACACTCCACTACACTACACTACATTACACTACACTACACTACACTACCTTCCACTACACCTCACTACATTACTCTACACTACACTCCACTACAACTACAACTACAACTACAACTACAACTACACTCCACTACACTCCACTACACTAAATTACACTACGCTACACTACATTACACTACACTACACTCCGCTACAGTACATTACACTACACTACACTACCTTCCACTACACTTCACTACATTACACTACACTCCACTGCACTACAACTACACCTACGACTACACAACTACACTCCACTACACCCCACTACGCTAAATTACACTAAATTACACTACTTTACATTCCACTACACTCCACTACGCTACACTACATTGATCTACATTACGCTGAATGACACTGCACCACAGATAGACAGGTAGACAGATAGACAGACAGACAGACAGATAGATAGATAGATAGACAGATAGACAGGCAGACAGCTAGACAGATAGACACATGAGAGAGAGAGAGAGATAGATAGATAGTTAGATAGATAGATAGATAGAAAGATAGGTAGGTAGATAGATAGATCGATAGATACATAGGTAGATAGATAGGTAGGTAGGTGGGTAGGTAGGTAGATAGCCAGAGAAAGAGAGAGAAATAGTGAGAGAGAGCAATCACCTTGCGCTCCATCAGGATTCACTCTGCCATCCCTGATTCACAACAACCAATCTCTCCTATAGGTTTCCTATTTTTGAAACTTCCGCCACCGCCTTGTGCGGTACTACTGGTATTTAATAAAGTATTAGGGTGCGAAGCTTCCCCCTAATACATCCTATTTTTCTAAAAAAAATCTACTTCAAAATGGATTAATGTCCTCTTTAAAACCTAATTAAAATATTACCAAAAATTGGATTTCGCAGGTTCCCCTAAATCAAATTAAAAACCTTAATAGGAAAACAACAAAATGAATTTGAAAGGACGGACCCTAATAAAAAACACCTCGGTGTTGACTAGTTTTTTTAAGGGGGTGAAACCCTCAAATGGAACCTTCATTTTGAAATTGTTTTTTAAAGGGGACAAATTAAAAGTCAAATTGTCCAACTTCAAATTTCCCAAATTTTCGAACGGACCTGAGTTTTTAATAAGCGGCGGCGGAAGGGATTAATGAGATGAAGATCTCCCTCAGTAAGATGAGGCCTAAGGTCAATAAGGACCATATGGGACAAGGGAGACCACCACCCACGTGGTCGTTATCAAACTTTTTACCCTGCCAAGCTTGGCGGGGGAAACTGGTTGGATTGGTTGGGCATTTGGATTTTCATCCCAGATAGGGAGTGGGAACGACGATGAATTCTATGGCAACCTGTGGCATCCCATGACCTTTGCCTCGATGACCGTAACTTCTTTTTGGCTCGCTGGCACTGGGGAAATTGAAGATGTCCGGCTGAAAAACCTGCGGAGATTTCATGAGATTTACATAGTCTCACGACTCTGACAGAGCGTTGAGGTTTGCGTTAAACGCCAGTTTTTGCCAAGATGGTGCATTCTAGTGAGCTAAGTCATGGTGACACTTGAAGTTTACGGATGTGGACATTTCAGCCAATGACGATGGGGAGTTAGCACGGCCCTGCTCTTTACCTTGTTGTCCATGTTAAGGGGATGGGGTGTCTTGCTTCATTCCCTAAGGACAACCTGTAGCTGTGGTTCGCGACGTGCCTCAGCCTGGGAGGTGGCGAAGGGCTCCTTCTTTAAAGCTTTGTCCAGGGTTGCATTGATGTGGGAGATTCGTTCCACCTATCTCAAATATAGTTTCCCTGGTGAATGCAGCTCGAAAGATGCAAAGGCTTTGATCAACGAATGTGACTGCTACTGCTAATGTAATGATAACTGCATTTAAGCCGCAGGAACCATTTCCTCCTTGTTGGTGACTGACCCGCTGGTTTGGCCCGCTTGGCAGGATCAGCGTTGTACAGAGCCCACAACTATCTCCAGGAAGGGCAGGGCTGGTGAATCCTGGTGAGGTTGGATAAGATTGATGCCACAAAGCAAGCGAGTTGAAACCAAAACTGCTACAGCTAGTGAGGAATCAGAAGGAGACAAAAGCGACAAGAACTTCAAGTTGGACACGAAGATGCGAAAAGAATCCTGCCTTTTTTGTGTGGGCCAGAGACAAGATCATTTGATCTAATTTTGGCTTCAGACGTGCTTCGCCCGTTTCGACAATAAACAGCTGTTTACTGGATTTGCGCGAGCAGTTCAAGCATCCAAGCAGTAGCGTTGTGGTGGCCATAGTGATTCAACATGATCCAACGAGCCACGACGATAATCAACGCATAGCAAAGAAATCCGGAACTAAAGACCTATGTGTTCCATCAATTCAATTCCATACCAAATGCAAATACCACGTAGAATATCGTACTGTAATATCGAAAGATCTGACATTTCATGATATTTCATGATACTGGTATTTCCATATACAATTGGATAGAGAATTGACATGCATTAGTTATTCAATATGAATCAGATCTCTGTCTACCCCCAGTCGCAGGTCGAGCCGGTACCCTGATGCTTCTGACAGCTGCTGCAGGCTCTCCCAACGACCATCACCAGAGGCTCGGGTGCTGGGTGAAAACCATGAATTGATGATAAGTTATGCAGACATATGTAGAATTATGCCACATGTATCCATGTAAATCCATGTATAATATATGGTAATCGATCTGATCCCAAGGTCCTTGTAAAGAGTTTATATCGCGAAAGTAACATTTTATTCGTGAAGAATTGCCGTTCCCGGACAAAGGAATTTTGATCAATTCCCATATAATAATAGTTATAGTATACTATAATTAATCATACTTATAATCATCCCGTTAAATATGCATCCTCTAGACGTGCTTTGGATCCACTACCACAATATCATGTGTATTCTTCACGCACACAAATATATCTATCTATATCTGCATGAATGTATATATATAATTATATATATATAAATGTATATAATTGCATATATATATAACACATAAATAAGTATACAATTATAAAGAAAATATATAGCAAAACCCGCTTTATGCTTCGTTGGGCCATCATGCTGGTGTTGAGGACGATCGATTTTCCTTTGGTGAGCGGCAGATCCCAAAGAGGTCCAGACACGAAGCAGCTGAGTGAGTTAGCTGCGGATATGAGTTTGCTTTAAAGTTTGAGGCCACCCTAGACTTTGACCATTTTAGTCTTAAGCAGCGATCCTGAAACATGCAGTTTGGATGGAGCGTACCGGATTTTGACCCAGAGCCATCTGAGGGAAATCATTCATGGCACAATAATTATACTCAATACTGCACCATAGATTGCACCGAGTCAGGCAGCGTTTGCCAAGTGATTCTTCTGTCAGAAAGCTTCTCGGCTTTCAAAGAGATGCCCACACGACAGCTGCAGCTGTTGTAGCGTAGCGAATCCGAAATGGGCGAACTGGCCAACTTGATCGATATGACTGTCCATTCTTATTTGGGAAAGATTTTTGGGAAAGATTGGGGTAATCTCAGATTTTCATGGCAAGAGTATGCAAGATATGCAAGAGTAGTATATGACAGTATGGAGTATGTATATTATCCCGTCAGATACTCCAGTTTTGTGAACTGGTTTATAGATGTTTATAGGATTTGCATGGATTTGCATGGATTTCACCTCAACCTGTCATGATCAAAATTTGATACGTTTGATGGTCAGGCGGTCAGGAGATGTCAGGAGTCCGCCCTGTTTTTAGGTCATCTCGAGGCCTGAGTTTGGCGAACCAGGCGGAGCTGCCTGGGCCTGGGAATGCCTGGGATGACCAGTGACTCAGTTTGACTCATGTTCAAAAGCTTCGATCTTCAGCGTATTTTGACATATTTCCACTTTTTGTCACATTTTTTCACATAGGCGAGAGAATCAACATTCAAATTATTGTTTTTTTTTAAAAAAATTGGAAAAATTGGCATGGCAAACACGTGACACAGAATGGAGAGGACACAAGGGGTTGAGGTTGAGTCCAGCCATGTCATCCGTGCACTGCGCGCTGCGCTCCAGGGGCACTTCGAGGATGGATTGACAGGACACAGCAGGCGTGGTCATCCTGTCACCTTCGCTTACTGGGCTTGCGAGATCTTGCGAGCTCTCCTCCAGATATGAGTTTGCTTTAAAGTTTGAGGCCACCCTAGACTTTGACCATTTTAGTCTTAAGCAGCGATCCTGAAACATGCAGTTTGGATGGAGCGTACCGGATTTTGACCTAGAGCCATCTGAGGGAAATCATTCATGGCACAATAATTATACTCAATACTGCACCATAGATTGCACTGAGTCAGGCAGCGTTTGCCAAGTGATTCTTCTGTCAGAAAGCTTCTCGGCTTTCAAAGCGATGCCGACACGACAGCTGCAGCTGTGTGCGAATCCGAAATGGGCGAACTGGCCAACTTGATCGATATGACTGTCCATTCTTATTTGGGAAAGATTTTTGGGAAAGATTGGGGTAATCTCAGATTTTCATGGCAAGAGTATGCAAGATATGCAAGAGTAGTATATGACAGTATGGAGTATGTATATTATCCCGTCAGATACTCCAGTTTTGTGAACTGGTTTATAGATGTTTATAGGATTTGCATGGATTTGCATGGATTTCACCTCAACCTGTCATGATCAAAATTTGATACGTTTGATGATCAGGCGGTCAGGAGATGTCAGGAGTCCGCCATGTTTTTAGGTCATCTCGAGGCCTGAGTTTGGCGAACCAGGCGGAGCTGCCTGGGCCTGGGAATGCCTGGGATGACCAGTGACTCCATTTGACTCATGTTCAAAAGCTTCGATCTTCAGCGTATTTTGACATATTTCCACTTTTTGTCACATTTTTTCACATAGGCGAGAGAATCAACATTCAAATTATTGGTTTTTTTAAAAAAAATTGGAAAAATTGGCATGGCAAACACGTGACACAGAATGGAGAGGACACAAGGGGTTGAGGTTGAGTCCAGCCATGTCATCCGTGCACTGCGCGCTGCGCTCCAGGGGCACTTCGAGGATGGATTGACAGGACACAGCAGGCGTGGTCATCCTGTCACCTTCGCTTACTGGGCTTGCGAGATCTTGCGAGCTCTCCTCCAGATATGAGTTTGCTTTAAAGTTTGAGGCCACCCTAGACTTTGACCATTTTAGTCTTAAGCAGCGATCCTGAAACATGCAGTTTGAATGGAGCGTACCGGATTTTGACCTAGAGCCATCTGAGGGAAATCATTCATGGCACAATAATTATACTCAATACTGAACCATAGATTGCACCGAGTCAGGCAGCGTTTGCCAAGTGATTCTTCTGTCAGAAAGCTTCTCGGCTTTCAAAGAGATGCCGACACGACAGCTGCAGCTGTTGTAGCGTAGCGAATCCGAAATGGGCGAACTGGCCAACTTGATCGATATGACTGTCCATTCTTATTTGGGAAAGATTTTTGGGAAAGATTGGGGTAATCTCAGATTTTCATGGCAAGAGTATGCAAGATATGCAAGAGTAGTATATGACAGTATGGAGTATGTATATTATCCCGTCAGATACTCCAGTTTTGTGAACTGGTTTATAGATGTTTATAGGATTTGCATGGATTTGCATGGATTTCACCTCAACCTGTCATGATCAAAATTTGATACGTTTGATGGTCAGGCGGTCAGGAGATGTCAGGAGTCCGCCCTGTTTTTAGGTCATCTCGAGGCCTGAGTTTGGCGAACCAGGCGGAGCTGCCTGGGCCTGGGAATGCCTGGGATGACCAGTGACTCCATTTGACTCATGTTCAAAAGCTTCGATCTTCAGCGTATTTTGACATATTTCCACTTTTTGTCACATTTTTTTACATAGGCGAGCGAATCAACATTCAAATTATTGGTTTTTAAAAAACATAATATTGGAAAAATTGGCATGGCAAACACGTGACACAGAATGGAGAGGACACAAGGGGTTGAGGTTGAGTCCAGCCATGTCATCCGTGCACTGCACGCTGCGCTCCAGGGGCACTTCGAGGATGGATTGACAGGACACAGCAGGCGTGGTCATCCTGTCACCTTCGGTTCGGGCGATCTGGGGTTGTTAATCACGAAAGGTAGCGTCAGCTACCTGAGTTCTCCGTGCTTCAGCACAAGCTTAGGGGTATTGGGGGGCCAGCCCGTGGAATTCATGGACTTCTCGCCGTTATGTATTGGATATCAATTATAAGGAGGGGGGGCCGCCCCCCCCCCCCGAAAATGATCATGGGTTCAATTCCCACGGGTGACGCGGTCACGGGCCCCCACATTAGAGGCACACTTTCCATGAGGGAGATGTCCCTGTAGTCCAGCATAATTGGTATGCTTCAGCCTCAATAACAGTTGCTGCAATGGGTCTTAAAAAGGGGTTTTAAATAAACCCCTTTTCGTGCATCATTTCACGCTGCACAAGACACCGTATCATGCAGTCATGCTCTGGATAAAATCATCTTAGACTGCGCAAAAACGTTTTTGGTGTATCATCTTAGGGGCGCAGCATTTTGACACCACTCCTCTCCCACTACACTACCTTTCGTCCGCCTCTGCCTGCTCTCAAGTGATGTTGTTGTCAGTTCGTTGAAACTGAAATATTGCCATTGGGTAGCATTGGTTACTGTAGCATACCACTTCAAAAGCTATCTAGCTGACTCCCACCTTTTGTGCCTAATTACTATTCATATCATTTAGCTTGAGGAAGATGCGAGTCAGGGAGCGATCTCCGCCTATCGGTCGGGGCCGGGTGAGGCAGTTGACAAGGCCAGACATGGTCAGAGATGAAGCACGGATGGAAGCTCACTGTGAAGGCACAGCTGCAGCACGGACATGTTGGTGAGGCCATGAGAGCACCATGTGGAAATGGATATGGCATGATATGGCTATAGCATGCTATAGCGGCTATATGCGGCTATGGGCCCGGTCCGGGTCAAGATTCAGGGACCTGGGAACGACACCACGCTAGGGATAACTAGAACCCCCCTGGACGCCATATTGCATCCGGTGTATTGCAAAGAGATGCAAGCTCTTGTGCCATGCCCCAAAAGTAATGACAGCTCAAAGCGCCGCACTGCTTGCATGACAATGTCTTTCGGAGTCACTTAGTGGAAAACCGGATCAAGCAGGCACTAGTCCTAGATATCTCTGAATCTCGATTGACTCTATTTGCACTTTCTTGAGCTCCGACTTTCAGAGAACTCATATGCTGGCACACACACACACACGCATATATATATAATTATATATATAATTATATATATATATATAATTATATATATAATTATATATATATTATATTATATTATATTATATTATGTTATATTATATTATATTATATTATATTATATTATATTATATATTATATATAATTATATATATTATATATATTATATGTATATATTATATATATTATATATATCATATGTATATTATATATATATTATGTATATATATATTATATATATATAATATATTATATATAATTATATATATATATATTATATATTATATGTATATTATATATATTATATGTATATATATTATATATATATATTATCATATGGTATCATCACTGTTTTCCAGGCATTGTCCATGGCCGTTGTCCTACCAGGGGAGGTTGCCCCGGCCAGCCTCAAAGGTGTCCAAAGAGTGGAGTGTGCACAGCAATGGCAGGAGGTGGGCCGGTATTTACTATTTTTACTATATCTGGGTCGTTATCCCCCCAAAAAAAAGAGGGCGGCACCCCGTAGGGGAGTAAATTTTCATGACACATGATGATAAAACACTGTAAATACCGATGTTTTACGCACTTAGAGGGTCTAAAACCCTAGTAAAGCGCACTTTTTTCATCATGATCTTGACATGAGATATACAAAAACATTGGCAGGCACCAAAAAAAACAAACTACTAGATGCACCAAACATCGACAGGCACCCAAAAAAAATGCAGCAACTACTAACAAGGACCATAGTTCCTGGATTTTTTTGTTTTTTTTTGGTGCCTGTGCAGGTTTGGTGACTCTGACTTCACAAAACATTGGCAGGCACCAAAAAAACAAAAAAAAGAAAAAAACCGGACTAGATGCACCAAACATCGACAGGCACCAAAAAAAACCAAAAACATCCAGCAACTACTCAGAGGTGGACCCATAGTTCCTGGATTTTTTTTTTTTTTGGTGCCTGTGCAGGTTTGGTGACTCTGACTGCACAAAACATTGACAGGCACCAAAAAAAACAAAAAAACAACAACCACTAGATGCACCAAACATCGACAGGCACCAACAAAAAAAAAAATCCAGCAACTACTCAGAAGTGGATCATAGTTCCTCGAAATTTTAGTGTTGTTTTTTGGTGCCTGTGCAGGTTTGGTGCATTTCGTGGTTTGTTTCTTTTTTTTCTCCTGTGCCTGTGCAGGTTTGGTGACTCTGACTTCACAAAACATTGACAAGCAGCAAAAACAACCAAGAAACACAGCTAACATTTCATCAAACCTTCTATCACTGTTACTTCATCTATTGCTAAAATCGCCTTGATACATTTCAATTGCAGCTGCCCCTTGATCATACATGTTTGGGTGTCAAAAGCCAGTTCAATAATGAGTGCAGCATCGTTTTACAATGAATCTGCCGACAAGGCCCTACAAGATATGATACAGGATGGCAAACAGGAAATGTGTCCAACTCCTTCAGTGATAACCATTACTTTATTTGTTGATAAATTTGATATGTAAATAGTTTTTTGATAGTTATGTTTGGCAATAATGACTGCAACTGCCCATTGGGTGCAGGCTAGATTGTGTATGTTTGGATCTTGGGCATATTTTAAACTGATGTTTCAAAGAAACAAACGTACCATTATCTTTGAATAGCTATGCCACCACACAGGTTGCCTGATCTTAATAGTCAACAGCATGACGCACTTCTCTGTCTTTATGGCTTTCTTTGTTTCTGGCTTTCTTTCTTTCTTTCTTTCTTTCTTTCTCTCTCTCTCTCTCTCTAAGTATTGAAATGAGACTGCTGACAAGACTCTGCAAGGTAACAATGATACACAAGATATGTATCTACTTCTTGAATTGTAAATTTTCCACCATCCTTCTTATCCAGAGTGTTAGATGTGCGTGTGTATATCCACCTACATAATGTATGCCCTTCCCACCATACTTCTTATATAGCGCAAATGCTTCTATATACAATGTATGTTGAGATGATATCAATCTAACAAGTTCATGAAGAAACAGCTATATCATATCAATTGCTTCTAGCAATAGAATTTCTCCATCACCTCTATCACACTAGCCACCTATTGCTACTGTATATTCTGTTCCAAGATGTGCAGCGACCCATTCTTATGCAGATGTTTTCTGTTATGTGCTGATTGTTTGTAGTTCTTTGCAAGCCTCACAGGAAAAATTGAATCCTATCACAAGAGTCTGTAGATGCCAGTGATTTATGACAGCATATGATAGCCTTTGGAGGTGAAAAGCCTACTTTTGTCACAAAACAAAACACCGTAAACACCAGTATTTTTGACCGTTTTTAGAGCAAAAATCACTCCCCCATGAGGGGCCGTTCTAAAAAAAAAACGCCCATGGTTTGTATCACCCCCCCGGCGCCCGCATTGTGCAGGTCCAAGCCATCGCGCAGAACGCGGAAACGCTGCGCCTGTTGGCCCGGAAGCGGCGAAAGCTGATGCGAAAGCTGGAAGAACGAGAGACGCTTAGCGGTCATTGATGGTGATGGCAATGGTGATATGGTGATGGCAATGGTGATATGGTGATGGTAATGGTGATATGGTGATGGTAATGGTGATGGTAATGGATTGATTGTATACCTTTCTCTACTAATTTTCTGGTAAGTTTATGGACGGGATGGATGATGGTATGCCATTCCATGATTTTGTCATGGATATACACATCTATAGTCCATGTCACTGTTCACTCAGGCAGCACTTGGAGCAAAACCTCGGCATTCTGTCGCATGTGTACCTACGCCAAGCGGATGTGGATTTGCAGCAGCTGGGTAGCACTAGAGGCTTCCTGCAGCCACAGGGGTAAGTTTTGGGCAAAGAACCAACAAATTGGCGCCACATGCACCGTTGAAAGCCTGCACTTTCAAGCTTTGGCTTGGAGAGCGCTGGGAAAGCGCCAAAACTGCCATTATCCTTGCATACTATTGCTCTAGTCTAGTTGCTAGTTTTGGGGCAACACTCTTTGTTGCGCCTGACTATTGCTGAGAGCAAGAAGTTTTGTGCACGATGACTTACAAAAAAACATATCAAAGAAATGAATACTATGCTGATCATAGACCAGCAGAGACCCCTCAAGTTTTCATTGTAAGATTCGCATCCGGCAGTCCCCTGAGCCCCTCCCAGCACAGGCTGCATCAAGTGATGGAGGACTTGCGCAAGGCTTTCGCGGCGCAGCGGGAGGCAACGAGCCAAGAGGCGGTTGGAGTAGAAGTGGGTTGAGAATGGTTCAGAAGAATTGCATTGCTTTTGCTTGTTGCTACATGTTGCTACTACTTGTTGCTACTTGTTCTGCTTCTTGGGGTGCTTTTCAGCATGATGCAACAGCATGTGCTTATACGGTTTTGCAGTTTTGCATTTTGTTTGGAGGGGCTGTCTCCAACAACTGGGCTCATTCGCAGATGAATCTCAAAGTTTTGCTCTTCTGCCCGGGTAGCTGCAAAAATGGTGCACCCGATCATAACTGGCATTGCCACTGGCATTGGTCTGCTCACAGACAAGTACATGCTGGGAGCCACAAACTTCGTTGAGCATTATGCGGTGGAATTCCATGCCACAGATGCTCAGAAAGATTTTGTGAAGGCAGCCATGTATGGTGGTGCAATTCTGGGGATGATTGTCATGGGACCACTTTCCGACATCATTGGCAGGCCCGGGCATGCCAGAACTTGCGACATGACCACTGTGCATGACATTCAAATCAAGGAAGGCCGTGAATCGTCAGGAAACATGACACATAATATACTTTTCTGCAGTAGGGAGCCTGTTGGGATCTGTTTGGGACGGAGACACTACAGAACCGAAGAATATGTACTGTAGGTATGCTCGTTGACATCAGATCTTGTCCCGTTCTTGGCCAGTTGTAGCACCGCGTGGCTGCTCGAGGCGCTCAGGGTTGATCCTTTGCTCCATCATTACCTTGCTGGGTGCCTTGCTGAGCACATTTGCCTGGCGCGAAAATACGTTGATCGTGGCCCGGATCATAACGGGCATCGGCATGGGTGGAGAATATCCCTTGGCCTCCTCACACAGCGCTGAGTCTTCCGAATCAGGCGCTGACTGATGGCTGGGCAAGAGATTGGATGTTGGGTGGAGACGAAGAGGGTCGCCTTTCTGCTGGTATTTGGGATTTGGATTTGAGATGATTTGGGAGAAAGGAGCTGTTTCATAGCTACTGGAAGTACATGGAAGTACGGGGTTCTCTTTTTGCATTGGCTTCCAAAATAAGTCTTGGGAGGTGCCTCAACTTCAGATCAGAGTGGACCCAAAGAGGTAGGGTTGCACTTTTTGCAATCATCATTGTTTGTGGACTCGCAAGTGGTATGCAAGTGGTGCTGTGCCAGGTGACGGAGCGCGAAATGTGGCACTTCTTTATCTCTTTGGATCAGGTGGTGGGCAGGCGCTGTGCCCGCTAGTGACTTACTTGATGGATGTGGGAGGTGTTCCTGGAAACTTGCTTTGGCGATGGAGTCTTGGCATCGGCATCGACCATGTCCACAAGGATTTATCCACAGGGCATCACAGGGCACCCCCAAATCCCATGGCTTTCATTTCCTCCAATGAAACTACCATATCTGGGCAAACCCAAATGCCAAAGCTTTTCTGTTTTCTGCTCGAATTTCCTAAGGTCCTTGGCTTTGTGAGGAGATTTGTTATTTAATCCTGGAGGGCTAGATCGAGACATATGAGTAACTACATTGATGAGCCGTGTATAGATACACTCAATTTCAGTATATTGACTCAGGGGATTCGTTTTGGCATATTTGTCCTCAGCAAGGGTCATTTGTTTGCTGCAACCTGAGGATCTTCGGGGTTGGATCTATTTTGTCAGGGTTTGGTCTCATCTTGCGGATACTTACGACTCAAGATAGCGAGAAGTTCAAGGAGGGCAAAGCAGCAGAGAAGGCCCACAAGGCAAGGTCAAAGGGTTTCCGAATTCATATCGCTGGCCGGTGCAGCAGTACATAGGCAGATTGTTAAGATTTGGTGGGCCCGGTCATATCAGCTTCCCCATTAAAGGGCTCTTTATGGCTCTTGGCCCGCTAGGAGAACACGTGTTCTTTGCTTGCACCATACTGGCGGCCATTGCTGGGCACAGCTGGCTGTTGGTTCCTCTATGATATTGTCGAGTATGGCTTGAAGCAGAATGACGCGGCCATCTTCAGTTCAGGAAACGATGCACCCTATTCTCAAAGTGTCATGGATGTATTCCTCACTCGCCTTCTCGTGATTCCTTCTTTGATTTTGGCCCCATGGCTACTGACCAAGACTTCAAGCACCTTGGTGCCAGCTGCTGCCAGCTTTAACACTTTAAGCCTTTAAGCCCAGGGGAAATTGTTGCTGCAGTCTGTTGTGACATTTGCACTCGATCATACTGGATGATCTATAGATATCTATAGTGTACATAGTTGCAGGAATCTGACTTGATTAATTTTTCTGAACCGTTTTACTGGCTCCTCAGGTAAGCGCGTTCAATTCATTGGTTTTTTGGGCTGCGGTCTTGCGAATTTCATCCTGGCGACGGCCTACCAACCTTTGAAGGATATCAGCTTGTTGTTCTTCACTCTCTACATCTTGCAGCTTTCCTTCCAGAGCCTTCCAGGTGTTACAACCATGGCCATCTCTGCTGAAATCTACCCCAGCATGGTCAGAGGGACGGGAGCAGGAATCAGTGCTGCTCTTGGCAAAGTCGGCGCAACCGTTGGTACCCTGGAGAACAAGTTCGTGACTCCACAACGATTTTGTTCTTGGTGAATTTCATTCAAATAAATCTAATGATTATCTACCCTGACAGTTCAGTGCTTGACCGAGATGTAAAATGTAGAAACTACAAGAGGCTTTATTGATCTTTTCTTGGGCATTCCCATGTCTTGATTTTGGTGAGAAATAAGATTGTAAACAATTCGGGAGTTTGATCTTGGGTTTTACAAATTTGGACTAGCAGGCTCCTATTTCTTTTCGGAGTTGAAGAACCAGGGCGACATCTCTATGATTTTTTGGTCCGTCACGGTGACATCCGTTGGGGCCATGATCATAACCCTGGTCGCCATCCCTTACTACAATGGACACACCATCGACGCGGCAGACACCTTGGCAAGAGACGGTAAGCCTACCGAAGCGGTGAAAGTCCTGTTTTCAGGGCCCTTGAACTATGATGGAACCAAATCTACGGGATATGAACCTGATGATTGGCTGTCAGATGAGGAGAGTCAACCTGAATAAGGTGCTCGAGTCACATTGGTTTTGAAGATTTCCCAAGGCATTCTTGCAAATGTGAGATGCGAAAAGATACGTTGCTGCTGAGTCCATGCGTGTATACAAGCATAGCATAGCATGACCCTCTGGGGTTTGAGGTGGTGTGGCTGCTGGCAGCTTTGCACAAAAAAAGTGGCACTATATCGCAAATAGAAATATGACACATTATAATTTGTACGGATCTACCTGACATTCACACACACACATGTCTATAGACTTGGGCAATTGGCCCCTACTTTCTTGCGTTTTGAGCGATTCTTACAGGTACTGACCAGCCATCCCCCTGCATGAGGCGCACTCACATCACCGCCATAGTGCTGTGACTTGCACTTGGGCAGCAACGGGCAGCAACGGGCAGCATAGGTTGAGGCAGTGCCATGGTCAGATGGAATATGAAATCCGACCGCCCGACCCGACAATCATTGAACAGATGATACACGATGATATATCATACTGTACTTCATGTTGTCATCGAAACTTTGGGAAGGTCATGGTGTTGTTATGTGTTTTTTGGACCTTTTTGGACCTTGTTGGTATGGCTCTTTGTAATATCCTTTTACACTTGATGAACGCGGGTTGAATTTAGCAGTGCTCCTGAAGGTGAGAGTGTCGACTTGGTCCTACCAATACGTCAAATGTATTGAATTGTCATATTCATATACATATATATACTGTACTATATATATAATTTATATAGTACTATATACTAGTATAGTCATATGAGTCATATATCACATGATGTAACAATTTCTTAAATTGACTATCGGCCGAGTTTCGAACTTCAGCAACCCTGAACAGTTCCCCCTGGTGAGCCAGTCTCATTGCATTCAGCAACACATCACTTGCAAGGCCCAGTTCGATGATGTGCTCAAAAGAATTGCATGAGTTTATGCCAGTGATGGTGGCAGGCCAGCAGAGCTTCAGACAAGGTGAGTTTGGGGGCCTACAACCTAAAATGGGTCACCTGAAAACGATCCAAGTCATTGGTCATTAATGAGGACACCCATGGTTTGGGGCAGCCCTCTGGTTTGAAGCACTGCTCACTTTGGGCGTGAAGAACATGTCCAGCCGCACGTAGGAAACTTAGGTCATCTAAGAGCTGTCATGATCCCGGTCTTTGAAAGGCATTGCCATCAGCATCCATCAGCCATTCAGTGCAGTAGGCCGGCGGTCTGACTTGCCAGGGTTAACTTCTCAAAGCTAGTTGTTACCCCTCGCATCCTGATCATCCTGTCCCTCACGCGAATTTCAAACGAATTCCGCATAGCAAGCAGTGGTAGCCCATGAATTCGATGAACCAATTCAAGGCGGTTTCGAGCATCAGTCGTAGCACATTTTTCCTGTTTCCTTTCCACACCTTGTGGACAAACTCTCAAGGAGGTGCAGAAATCCTGGAGCCCTGAATCTTGGGAGACCAAGTTGAACCTGTTAGGGTAGTGACTTCCAGACTTCAGATTGGATATTGGATCTTGGTGCATGGCATTATTCATGGGATATATCATTAGCAGATATTGACAGCTTCTGATTTCTTTCGGACTCTGGCCCCAGGCATTCCCAGGCTAACTGCAAGTTGCATGCCCCATTGCTAGAGTTGAGAACGGTTGCACACGTACTTCCACGCGGTTTGCAGAGCAGTTTCAGATAATGAATCTGACCCAATGACGCAGAACGCGACGAAAGGAAAGCGGCAATTCGCAGCGATTGCCAATTCTCAGCGGTTGCCTGCTGCAAGAATGTTTGCAAGTGGTCACATGTCCGCACGTACAAGTATGATCAAATATGATCAAATATGATCAAATATGAATGTTCAAATATGTGCATATACATACGGTATACGTTGTATAAACATAAGTATACAGTATACTGCACATACACACAAATATACATGCAACATGCACATAAACCACCGTAAACCAAACTGAAGTGCTATTTGCCTGTATTTTGGCATTGACTGTGGCCGAATGGTCCTGGTGAGAACCCCACAACGTGCTTGGCTCAAGTTGCGTCACGTCACGTTGGGCCCAGCTGCAGGCTGGAACTGGACTCAGAAAAATATTTCTGGATACAATAATGGTTGTGAAAGATCGTGAACGATATCCCTGTCCTTTGGCAATTGGATCCGGAATCTCAGAGCCAACAGGCTGCAACATGTCGGCATGTTTGCAGTGCAATGTTCTTATCAGGATTGCATTCAGAATGCCCGTGAATTTCCTTGGTTTGTGTGCTGAGACGACTCCATTTATTCCGAATGCCTCAAACACCTGTGGGATCTTGTGGGTGTGTCTGTTTCTTGCCTTCATTTTTCCCGCAGGTCCAGTGCTCCAAAAATGGCTGGTTCGGGAGCCTAGACGTTGCAACAAGCTGCAGCACATTGCAGCACTGCAGCCTCTGACGATGGTTTCAGGTGAAGAGGCGGAGGCACCGGTTCAGGACGCCATTGCGCCATGTGCCGAGCCATCTGCTGTCAGCAGCAATTAATCCCACCCCCTTGATGTAAGTAATGCCCACCTAGACCCCGTGGTTTAGTAGTGGATTTGTCCATACATGAATACCACGGGGTCCATACCACGGGGTCCATATGGTGGGAACTTTTTTTTTAGAGGGATGGGATGGGACTAGTGACATTAGTGTGATGATTGCAAGGACTCCCAAGTATGTTCCTTTGACATCCTATCAGATACTGTCACCTCAGCACAGGGCATATATCATTTAGTAGCCCTAAGAGTTTGTAGGACACAAGACACGCCAGGAGACTAAAGAGCCTGCAGAGGGAGAGGCAGCGAATGAGGAGAGCAAAGAAACCGCGGGTTGTGAAACAAGCATCGCTTGGTCAAACATTGTCAAACTGATGCTCAGTAATTCTGATTCATGCTTCAACGAAGCATTGATAATTGATTGCGAATGATACACCTTCCCTGCTACGAGCCTCCCAGGACTCCAAGACAAGCCCCGGAGGCCTCAATCTGAAGTCGTTTTTGCAAGGGGGCTTGATGAAGTGTGAATTGGTGGGCTACACCAGGCTGCACTCCTTTGGACATGCTCTGTCATGCTGATCTATGCTGATGATGCCAGTTTGCTAGAACTGGGAAGCAGCGCATGCGGCAAATGTTGTTTCTTGCGCTGTCGTTTTTGCTTTGGTACAAGTTTCCATGCGTGACAATGTTTTCTACATGTTTCTACCTGATTCTCTCAGCCCCCAGCCAGGTCGAAAGAAGATCATGTGGGGCCAAGTCTTCCTTGGTCAGGTGTAGTGGACAGTGACGGTGTATGGATCAATCTCAGGTCAAACTTGAGCCACAGTAGGTTGCAACAACAGAAAACAGGATCAGTAAAAACATTTCGAGGTCGTGTCTTTTCAAGAGGTTTTGCTTTTGTATGGTAACCTGCTGACATCTTCACATCACCCTTTCACATCTCTGTGTCTTCTGGAGGTTGTCGATTGGAAGGTGGCCGCAACTGTTCTCTTGCACTGTCGCCACAGAGATGCCAAAGGTTAGTCGGTTAGTGGATATCTAAGATGATATCTATGAATATCTATGATTTTGAAGTGAGCATCGGGTTGTCATGGTGTATTCCTCTTGAAGTAGTGCTTGATACCACCCTATGGCCGGTGCTATCCACATTCTGTGCTTGGAAGAATGCGCGGATGACATCACTGCTATTGATAGCTGCTATTGGCAATTCCGTTGCCAGCATCTCTCATCATTCATAGTATTCTGTGGTGCCTGTAGCATGTTATAACATGTTACCCTCCAGTAAATTAACATAGACCCTGCCAGATAGGGGTTGGAAGACTAGTTTCCACTATAAATTGGTCATTTTCAGGGTCTATGTTAATTTACCAGGGGGTATAACGTTTTTTTCGTCCACTAAACCTGCTCCGACCCCTGGCGTTTTTTGAGGGAAAATATGGCTGGATCCTACCAGCTGAGATGATTCGCCATGCCAAGGCCCAGGGCTGGTGTTATGTTTTGGACGTGCTAAAGCATCCAAAGTTTCCCTGTTTCATGGGATGCAGGAAGACTCAGTAAAGCATTGGCTCAGGACTGTATTAGATTCTATGATGAATGTCGTATGCTCATGCATTTCCTCATTTCTTCGTGAAAGACGTGAGTCTTTTCAAATTATGGATCTGCACTGCATTACTCTCGATTTGTGAAAGGCCAGCATGCGCCAGGGCCGAATCTTTGTCAGACCATGCCTCAGCAGATCTCGGGGGAATTGAAATCTGACTGATTTCACAACCGCCACTCCATAGCCAGCACCTTTGCACAATCGAGTGGCTTCAACAACAGAGGCAGAACGGATCTGGTGGCGGCCTAAGCGCAGAGTGATTGGCCTTGTTGCTAAGACCCAGTTTGTAATGGACAAGACTTGCATTCAAGGCGATGCGAAACCAGTTGGATCCTTCCGCTACCAGTCAATTCGCTTGCCATTCCGGCTTCAAAGGGAGGCTTTTTTCATCCAGCTGGATAGCATCAAGCTAGACCTGCAGCTCTTCACACAACTTGAGCATAATTTACACATTGCATTATAACAATTATAACAATATATACTACTGTATAATACTGGATAATGGTGTATAATATATAGATATGTTGATAATTGTTTTTTTTTAAAAAATATATATATATATATACATAAACATATTATATATGTAATATTATATGCATATATAGAATGACATTATATAATACATTCAATGTATATACAGTTACAACATATTGTGTCCGAATACTTGTAATATTGTTTGGGTCTCTTCTTTGATTGGTCGAAGTGAGTAATTCCTTAGGATATTTCTTTACTGAATGACTTCTTGGATCTTTTCTGGCTATTCCCCAGTGCCCAGCCAGCACTACATGCAGCTACGCAGGAAGCAGTCATTGCCAGTGCGGTATGGCTCTGTCCAGACACGGTGGATAAATGTATATACTGTTCCCAAATCCATTCATGAACCATCATGATCATGATGCAAACTTTTGGGGACAGGGCCCCATTTTCAGACACATTGGCACTTCCCCGTTTCACAGACGCGGATTGCGTCCTGTATGGCGGTGGCATGGGAGTTCAGCGACTGCTGGAGTGGGAAGCTTAGTGAGTGATTAGACATCTCTCATCATGGTCATTATTGTCATTATTTTCACCACCTTTTGCATTTTCACCACGTCACCATGATGATCATGATGATAGTGATCATTATAATTATGTATGTATATATATATAATATCCATGTATAATGTCAATAGTAATAACGGTAACAATAATCATCAGGATCATCACTTGCATCACCTTAGTCGGCACAGTCTGAATGAGCTAACTCTTTGCGAGGCTTGCGCAGGATTTGCACCATGTCTCTTGGAAGCATAGTACAATACATAAATGGGGTGCAGGTACCCAAGAATCAGATAATTCATACATTGTTCATGCTAAAATAATATGGTTTACAATACTTACAATTGGGAATTGGGATAAATTATTGATAAATTTGGATCTTCAGCAGCCCGGCTATGGGATGCTATGGGGCAAAACCAAGGCCTGGCCTAGCAAAAATTCAACCGGCCTCGTCAAGACAGCTACGGCTTTCAAGATGCAAGAAATTGCCCGAGTCTTAGGCTGCTGAAACAAAGGGCTGTGCCACTGCCAATTGGAACATCACCAAAGCAGCAGCAGATGGATATGATATGGATTGATATGATGGTAATATAAAATGCATACTAATTGTAATGTATAGAATCTGTAGAGAACATGTGATTATACTATAATCCCAGCAGCTTTCAGGTAATGAATGGCAATGATTCTCTGCCAGACTTGGATGAAGGGAAACGTTTTACAGAACATTATAGGTCGCCACAGGAAGATAGGTCTGTAATGATCACCCATGATAAATGCACCACCACTTTACTCGTAGGGGCACCAATTCTAATAGTGATTTACTATTACTACTACTGCTGCTGCTGCTGCTCCTACTACTACTACTACTACTACTGCTGTGGAGGTAACCCCTTAATTATTTACGGAGTTCATTCATCCGGGGTCAACATATCTTACTATCTCTTACTTACTGTGCCAAAGCACTGCTTTGCTGTAGATTATCCCTTAAATCAGTCAATCGTTGATTCTGAACCGCTATCCACCAGTGTTTGAACAGAGATGATATGTCCTGAACATGACCCGATCATTGGGGACATGATATCAAATTCATATGACATGTATAGTATCCCGCTTGCTGAAAGTGGTGTTCCAAGCTTGGATTTGACTGCATGACCATTTCACCTTGCAGCAGTGGAGTGGCAGTTTACAGTGCATCCTTGACCAAGTCCTACACTCCGCCAAAGATCGAACAAAAGCCAGAGCCGCGAAGCAAGTTCGAAGTACGTCCAGAGGAGCCAACCGTGCAATCTTGTGCACAACATTGACCAACCCTGTTCCCAAGTGATTCCTTTGAGCTGTTTTACATGGAAGGTGCCCAGCATATGCAGACACCTGCAGCACTTGATTTTTCAGAGACCAGCTGCCGCCCAATGCCACCAGCTTGTTTTTACCATGCAGCGGCTGTTTGAGAGGGTCATCCTGCCTAGGATTACGTACCGCCCGATAGCTTTCAAGAGAATCATTATGCAGATGGCCGACTGAAGTATCTCAGCAGATGGCTTTGGGAGGCATGCCACATGAAAAGCAGGTAAAAGCACAAAGGTTCATTAAGGTTTTATCTTCATCTCACATGTTGACAATCAAGCTATATATATATTATGATAATTATAACATGTCCGGACCGTCACATGGCGAAACTGGGGGTGTTAAGGGAAAGTCTTGCAACTATCTTCATCCTGCCGTGTTCACCGAGGTCACATGGCTTGGGTCCAAGAGCAGAGAAGTTGCGTATGGGCTCCGCCATCTTCCAGCAGTGCTAGGAGGATTGTGCTAATACTAATATTGAATTAGTGGAGAGAATCATCCCATTCATCATTCATCCCCCAATGTTCATCCATTTCATGGTATTTCATGGTATTTCACGGTATTTCACGGTATTTCATGGTATTTCATGGTATTTCATCTATCCTCCCCAAGGTCAAAAGATGAAGTGCGACGACGGAATCGACTTCGCCCAGACCTGTCCCATCGGCTGGAGCTACGTTGCTCAGCTGAACTGCTGCGACTCTGCTATCGTTGTGCTATTGTTGTGCAAATATCATTGAATATCCATGATGTGGTTGAGTGTTTCTGAAGTTTTCCATAGTTTTCCTATGGCTTGAGACATGTTGAGAATTTCCAGATGATATATCATTGGATATATGTAATTAAGAGGGTTTGATTGATGATTATACATGCAATGATAGCTAAAGATAACCATAGGTTGATTTATGTTGATTTGGTACGGTACTATATATAATTCATACTAATTCATACTAATTCCATATTTAGTTTCTTGAAACCGCGATGACGATTGGCAGGTGCCCAAAGGGCCAAGCGGACCAGAGTGCCAGGCCCCGCCGGAATTTTATACGGAGCCTTGCCAAGATTTGTCGACGGGAGATGGTCCTCTAAATGGGAGCTGCCATTTTTGACTGAAATCATTGGTCTAAAAATGTGTGTGCAACATTTTGTTTCAAAGATGTATGTATTATATATATATATATATGTTTATCGATTTCCCACTTAAACAAACAGTTTCCCAGAGGCTAGAAGTCTGGATAGATTTCTGACCCAGGAACTTTTTTGTCGCAAGCGCTGAGCCAAGGAGACAAACTGGTGCCGGCAGCAGCTGACTCCGCGCCAAGTAGTTCCTGCATCTGCCAGTGACTGCAGAGGGATGGAACGGATTTCTGAACGCATGATGCAGGGCATTGAAAGGATCAATGTATTACTGCCAGAGGTTGCATGACATTTTGATCAAATCATATTGTTCAATATTATTATTATTATATATATATATTATTCATCATATCATGCTATAAATTGCTACAGTGGAACCTTGCCGAACTCGTGGAGATGGCGATGGAGAGAGAGAGAGAACCCTTGCTGCCCAAGTGTGTCCTCTGACAATTCTTGGCTGAAGAGGAGCGGACAAAGAAGGATCTCTATGACGCATGTGGCTTGGATGCACCCTTTAAAAATACTTTAAGGTGAGAGTATAGGGGCCAGCAAATCTGGCATAAACCCATGTGAACTTGCATGATCCTACACAATTATGTGCCAGGTGTTCTCTCTCGCTCACTCTCTCTTTCTGCGTTTGCAACATTTTATTCAGGCGTTACTTTCATTCGGATTCTGTACGATTGCTCTGCAAAATTTCCCTCATCGACACGTTGCTGTAGATGTAGCTGGTTGAGCAACTATGAAAATTTCAAAGTGTTCCATCCTTGACAGCTGGATGATGCTGGATGAATGCTGGAGGCTGGTTGCTCTGGCCCTGCCGCGATTTGAAACACGACTACAGACGACCATGTCCACAGGGCTGGACCTGGGAGCAGCTTGGAACGCTGCCGATTGGACTTGATATGACTTGGGTAGACAAGGCCCCCACATAATTCGATGGTTCAGCCAGATGTAGTTTCTTGGCATTCACCGGAAAGATCCCTGAAAGTGATTACAGGCGCACATCGGCACGCAGAAAACTACGTGTTCAAGATTGTTCAAGTTCAAAAGTTGAAAGGATGCACTCACATTAGTGTCAACCAATCTCACCAAAACAAAATATGAATGGAATCGCGATGAAGACGATGTCAACATCGTCGTTGATTGGCGGTAGGCTCGAGCGGGAGAAGGGAAGGGATTAATCGCTTCGCGCCGTGCTCTATCCACAAACTTGCCATGGAGCAAGTCGTTGCCGGCAGCATTGGGCTGATGATCCTTCATTTCTACACGATGAGGTGGGCAGCTTGCGGATCTTTCGGTTCCGGTAGCTGATTCAAATCGAAACTGTCACGATGGAATCAATTCTACCTGCTACTACACCCAACTGCCCAAGTCGTGGCGAAATCCCAAAAATCTTGAAATTAGCTTGGGAGAAGGCTTTTGTGGAAGTCGTGGCGATGCGGCGTTTAGCTTGTGTTTAGGGTAGGTTGCTATTTTACTATCTCATGTAGACCTAAGTGGCGAAGCGGCGTTTAGGTTGTGTTTAGGGTTGCTGTCCCAATATGTTTGGCATCGTTGGCTGTTTGGTTTTGCAGCTCCTACATTGTGCACTTGTGTAGATGTACATGCATAACTGCATAGAAACAGGTGCACACTGGAGAATGGTTCACCTACTGAGCCAAGTTCCATATGTCGTAGCTGTGGGCCATGATTCGGACCTCGTTTTGACCTCGTTTTGGACCTCGTTTTTTCCCCCCAGTTGACATCACACAAACTTTGAAGTTTTCTTCGGTTTTTTGCCTCTGCTCCCCATGTTTGGACTGGCAACAATGCTGGGCGAAGATGCGCTCTCAGCAGTTCTTGGCCAAAAGGGCTGTATGAAACTGGCGTTCCATTGTGAATTAATGAGAAAAACCCATTTGAGATAGAACTGTGGTACCTTGTTAAACGATGTTAAACGTAGCGTTTCCAATGGGGAAAGGGGTTTTGCAAGGTCTGTGCCGGGACAGGGGTCGTGGCGAGCGTTTTGATTGGGAATAGCTGTCAAACGCAAACATTGCAAGGACTTTGGCGTATGGGTGTAGCCTCCTACTAGCTGCTACTTGTTTAATTTTGTTTATCTTGTTTGGAATTCACCTGCCATCCATTCTATTATTGCTGCACAAGGATGCAAGCCAATTGGTAGGGCAAATCCTTCGCGAAGCCCTGACAAAAAAAATCATTCTGGCTTTGGTGATTTGGTGTGCTTTGGTCGTTTTTATCCGCCGGGTGCTGTGACATCTGAGTGGTTTCCCCCACTTCCCCGATCTTCCCCGTGCGCTCCCAGGGTGTTGACGTGGAGGGATTGGGTGCCCATTTTTGAGCGAACCTTGCGAAGCTGGAGGATCTCATCAAGACCCGTTGAACGGCCTGAGGTTCTTGCCTGCGACTTGGTATGACTTGGTTAGGATCCAAAGGTTAGGGGAGGTTAACCACGAGTGGTTGCGTATTCAGTATACAATAGTATACAACAAGACAATATACAACATATGTATTTGTGTGTGAGTAATATCCATTTGTGATCATTTGTGCATTAATGAACTTGTGGGTTTGCATATCAGATGTGATCATTGATCCATACACACACACATATATATATATATCATCATGTCGCATCAAACGTTTAGTTGCTGTGCCCCGCCAACACTTGACATCGGCCGATGTCTTGCCTAGGCATGTTCGAAAGGCGTGAGCGAGTACTCAAGGACTGGCCAAGGTTGAACTCATTGACCCCAAATCAACACACAGCTATGGCATGCTATGGCTATGGATGGCTATGGATGGCTATGGATGGCTATGGATGGCTATGGTATTAAATGATATTATATAAATGTATTGAAACTTCGCTATAGCACAGACTCGATCTTTGGGTTGAAAACGCTAAACGCGTTTTAACGCACTGCAACATCCCAGGAGATTGCCGGGATTTGGTGCCCGTTAATCGAATCATTTTGGTTGCCTTACTACGTTTTGGCTACTTGGACCAACTTGGGGTGCACTTTGACATTGTGTCGTCTTGCTGAGCTTTGAACTTGAACACAGTTGTTAGGATCGTTGGCATTTGTAGACAAAGAACTTGATACTGCATGACCAACTGCACACGAGTCAGGTGTTTCACGCTGTTTTGCGAGGCTTTTCTCTACGACATGGACATGATGACATGATATGACATGCATGTGAGTCTAAAGGAAACATAACGGTTCAAGATTCACTTGGAAAGGTGTCTTGAAACTGATGCAACTGAGGTCAATTACTACGCCTTCGGTTCCCTTCTTCAAGTTCCTTGCTTTCTCAGCGGCGCAATTGCAGTTCCCGCGTTGCAACGAGTTGCGAGGCGAGATGTTAAACTGAAGCTTGGCAGAGTTGTCCTGGACAAGTTGACTGTTGCCAGCCGCGTTGGGCGTCCGGCCCGGGGGCACTGAGGACTCCCCTGATTATGCATCAATGTACCTTCCACCTGTGCATCGCAATCCTAATCAGCTCTGTTGGCTTTCCGCGGGACTGGGCCAGCGCCAGGGAGGGGTGAACATGGTAGGAAGGCTGCTGCCTTTGGCAAGGATGAAGAAGATGAAGAAGCTCATGATGACGACGATGATGACGATGATGCTGATGGTGGTGGTGATGGTGATGCTTATCGTGATGATGAACGTTTTCTTGGTGTATGATGGTGATGGATGTTTTCTTGGTGTAACTTATATAGCTAGTAGTCGCACGTGCAGGGGCAGTGGGTGGTCTTCCTCTAGTGCCCAGCAAGGGGCGAGGCCCTGTGACCACCAGATCGTTGGGAAATGGGAGCTAGTGGTGTGCCATGCAGAATGTGCTCTTAGGATCACCCCTCTACATAAGGTTGATTGAGGTTGCACATCCCACCAGATCCCATCAGGATTTGATGCCAATTCTTCATGTGGCTCGTATCATGGTGGGCACCTTCTCGACAGATGTGTGGCACGTCAACAACATGACTCTTGGCTTTGGTATGGTTCAAGGGTTGGTCACGGTTGGTTGCTAATTATGATTGGATGCAAAACATCTCGGCACAGTGGGGGCAAGCTGCAGCATGGGCAGCAGGTGTTTGCGTGCCAAGAGTTCAGGAGTTCAGAGGCAGCAGTTCTTTGGCACGTTTGCACATGAATATGCAATTTACTTATATTTACTGCATATATTTCGCTATACGTGTGTCTTTTTCCCATCAATCAACCAGATCAATGAAACTGCATATTACACGGCTGCAGTCCAGCGCTTGGGATGCTCAGTTCTTCTTTTCCACAAGGAATCAAACGTATCAAAAGTCGCGCGATGCGATGCCATCAAGGAACTTGCTGCTTGCTCCACTTCACGTGCTGTCCAACTGGATGCAAAAGGACGGGTACTGGTCAGCTGCAAAAAACTAGAGAGAGGTGCTCATAGGGTGGCATAACTCAGGACCCTGTTGATTTCTATATATTTCATGTTACTGTGGGTGTACAGTAAATCCATCAACATTCTGCATTACTTCATGGTTTGTCCATGTTTATTCAGTTTATCCCATGATTTTCAGGCTTTCACAATGAATCATAGGGAGCAACTGCTGGATTTTGTCGGCAGGAGCCCAAGGCAGAAGCCCTCGAGTTCATGCTCATGATCATCGCTGAGGCAGGTCCGTAGTCAGTTACCATCAGTTACCAAAAACATCCGTTTGAACCGATTGAACCGATTGAACCGAATGAACCGATTGATATATTGATTGGCAATTTGGGAATCTAATTTACGCAAGGCAATGGAGTTGAATGCATCCAATATCATCCAATTGGATCCACTGGGAGTAGTTTGATGGCTGTGCTGCAGTGGCATGCGACAGCCTGTTCGCAGGATGATGGGGCTTTTTCGGGGTGTGTTTTTTTTTTACAATCGATCTTGCCATCCCAGGTGTTCTTCATATCAATCACAGCCTTGATCCTTTCCACCTTACATGAGAAAGAATATCAGTTAGCTGCTGCAAGCCTGGAGCTGGAAGAGAAGGCCGCCCCCAGAGGGGCCCCCTTTGGGGGGGGGGTGTTGGCTGTGACAGGATGAATTCCATTTCTAGTCCAGGTCTTTCCAGGTCTATCCAGGTCTCCCGTGCCCAAAGCATGCTTGCAACCATTCACCAACATGAATCAACATGGATCTCAACATGGATCTCAACATTGTCCTCGACATCAACATTAGCCAACAACATCTCAGCCACCATTTAACCACCATTGTTTCGATGTTTCTATATCCATAAAAACCAATGAACACCGACAATTGAAATACGTGCAACCAATAGTAAACATCTCTCAAGCCATACATCCATTACATATACGACATATATATATATATATAATATAATATATATATATCACACACATATAATATCACACATAGCATATATATATATCATATATCCATCATATATCCATCATTTCCAACCATCCGGGAGATGGGCGCCCCGAGGTGCAAGAAGTGAAGGAAGCCGAACGGAGCGGCGCCGCAGCGCAGCGGCTCCTGGCAGTGACCTGCGATGCGTCCACGCGGCTGACAGGGGACTTGAGGACGATGGGCAGTGGCAACCAACCATTCATGGGATAGATATGCCATATGGATGCCATATGGATATATATATATATATATATATACGTAACTTGACTATTAATTACTAATGGGATATAATTAATGGATTATATTGACATGATGTAACTTATTAGTAATAGGATGTAGAACAATTAACATTTGCTACTGCAACTGTAAGATCGCTGGTAGATTTTAATTAGGCTGCAAGAAGACATTTCTCACCAAAACATACAAATCATGCTTTCGCAATGTGTTCTGAACTCACATTGACATAAGAACATTATCGTGGATGTTTATGTTACTTTGAACATTGGGACTAGATGCGTTTTAGAACAAAAGAGAAAAGGGATACCTCTCCAAAACATACATAAATCACGTGTTCACATCGTGGTTTGAGCTCAGAAAAAACATTTTTGCGGATGCTTCTGTTAGTTTGAACATTGGGCTTAGGCGTCTTTTTTCACAATAAACACCTTACCAAAACATTTGTGAATCATGCGTTCACATTGTGTTTTCAACTCGCAGAGTCACATTTTTTGGATGTTTATGTTGCTTTGAACGTTTGGCACAAAATAGATATCTTACCAAAACATGCATGAATCATACGTTTACAATATCCAATTATACCGTTTTGGTAATATTTTCCCTAGTTTGAAACCATTGGGGTGACTTGTGGTCTCATAGTGTCTTGTAAGTTTGTTTCTTTGGAACATTTACATTTTCGTGCTGCGTTTACAATGGGCGAAGAAGTTGGGGTGACTTTTCCTCGCAGTTGGGGGGGCATATGGGGGAATTCGCCAGCATTGACGACCCATGGGAAATCATGGCCACACACAGGGGAACAATTGGTATTTTTACCCCTATCTTGGGCCAATTTGCCCCTGTTGTAGCTGGGATGTTGGGAGCAATCATTATTTTGAACCATTTTGGGGGTTCAATATGAGGGGGATGGGTTTGTGAAGGGTAACAATCCCATAACAGCCCTGTTTCTGGGGTGTAATATTCTGATTTGCCCTAATATGATGATATATGAGATATTGTGTGATGGTCGTAGAATGTTTACATTTTTTTTGTTTATATTTGTTTCTTAGTGTGATTATTGTGTATATGACTATGTCATGTTCAAATCGTCCGTATGCGACGTCCGTGTGTGTAGTCCATCGCGGTTGATAACATGAAGGGCACGCTCCGTCGCCGCCCCAGCAATTGCAGGATTTCTCAGCCTTCCCCGAGTTTGTCGGATTTGTTAATGTGCGGCTTCGGATCCAACCTGGGATGCAACCACCTTGAAGGAGTCGCTTGGTTTCGATCTATCTTCGATTGATTTTGCTGGAACTGACGCATGAACCATTTGCAAGTGATGGAATTTACTTTCATGTATACTTTGGACATGCTGCAAATGCTAAGGTGTTGTAGAAACACCCGACTCAATGTTGTCAAATATCACTGTATTGTATATACATACAGTACACATATCATTGTCATTGTCATGGTGCATGGCAGCAGGCCCATGGTACTCCCAGTTTCAGATGTAGCCACTGCAAAGCCTAAGGTTCCCTTCCTTCGCTATGTGGACCCACCAGAACATAATCGCTTGAAGGCCTTCATTGAGGAATCGGCCAAAGCCGATACGCCACCAAGGCATGTGAGCTGCTGGTAAGTCTTCCACAGATTGGGGGGTTGGGTGTGTGTGAAATAACTACATACAAAAACTCCACCACAATCTGCCAAACGTTAGTCCCAATATGTTCTCGTTCCCAACTGGCCGTTATTTTAATAGCTCAGCTCCAGGTCGATCCATTTGCAGATGAAGGATTCCAGCGGTATTTCGTTCAATGCCGAGCTCTTCCATGTGACGGTGCCTTCCCTGATGTCTGAGCAGGTGGAACATCTGATTGGTATCAGCCAGGAGCCATGCTGGGCGATCCATGGCGATCCTGGGCCATGGCCTTGGAAGATGTTGGATCTTTTGGAGGTTTCGGATGATGGGTTGGTCATGGTTCGTCACTTGAAGTTTACATTTTTGGTGAGGTTTCAGCAGCAGGCACAGAGGTTGGTGCAAGAGAAACCCACATACTTACCAGGTGTGCACAGAAGGAGACATGGGGTACCCCATCCACACATCACCGCAATTGTTTGCAGATGGAATTTGTTTATTTGTCTTTTTAGTTTTTTGTTGTATTTCAGTCTGGGGCAGCTTTCCTTGCTACTTGCTGCATTTTGGAGCTAAAATTTCCCATCTGCATGCCCACTTGGCTTTTGGTTTGTGGCTTTTGGGTTTGGCTTCCTTCGGACCGCTTTTGGAAGTTTTGATGTTGAAAAAATGCAGCCGTTGTGGCACAAAGCACATGTCAAAGTCAAAATGTGCAAAAAACACCACACGTTCGGACCATTTTTGGAAGTTGTGATGTTGAAAAAGTGCACGCCGTTGTGGCGCGAAGCACATTTCGAAGTCAAAATGCTACAAAAACACCATCGTTTTGTGTGGCAGGTGGAAGGGATTCTGCACCTTGTCACACTAAGCAAAACGTGAGGGCATTGTAGAATCTCCAAAAACGATGGCAGGCGTGGGGCATTTGAAGAGGATCTGCAAAGATGCATTTTCCGTGGAAGGCGCAGTACAAGAGACATGTTCATCAGAGCTGTTAGGAGGTTCGGGCGCTGATTTCCTGAGAGAGGCTGCATTTTGGAGCATCAGATCTTCAGGTTTGCTGAGATGATTTTGCGTGACAGGTGCAGCACTTCGTTTGACCTGGCATCACTTTTTCGTGGCAGGCGCAGTACTTTAGACAGATGGAATGGAAACATCGCAAAACGTATTGGTACGAGGCTGTCAGCTTTGCACTCCGCTTTCCATTTTTGAAGGGAAGTCTCGCAGAATTGCTTCGTTTTTGATGTTGTCAAGTTCGAAAATTGAGGAAGTCTCGCAGAACTGCTTCGTTTTTGACGTTGTCAGGTTAAAAAAACATATCACTGAGGAAAAATCGCAGAATTGCCGCGTTTTCGATGTTGTCAAGTTTAGACATTAAGATCATTAAGCAGGTCTCGCAGAGTAGTTTTGTCTTCAAATATGCAGATAGACAGATAGATAGATAGACAACTGCAATTGCAACTACCACTACCACCACAATAAACTACTACTACGACTACAAATGCAGATGCAACTGTGCTACGCCATATTGCACTGCACTACGCTACTGACATCTAATTACACTAGGTTACACTAGGTTACACAAATTACATCACACTACATCTGCAACTACAACTACGCTACATTTCGCTACGCTACGCTAATTACACTACGCCACACTACAACTACAACTACAGCTACAACTACACTACACTACAGCCCGCTACGCTACAATTACAACTACAATTGCGCGACACCATACTACATCCAGCAATTGTGAGTGGGGTGACCACTGCAACCACTGCAAACAACCCCCCAAAAAAACACAACTCCGACCAGCTTTCGGCCCATCAGTGGATTGCGTCTGCCATCCATGCGTCACAAGAACTCACCTCTCCTATAGTGTTCTATCTTTGAAAATTCCGCCACCGCCTTGCGCGGTGCTACTGGTAATGTAGATTTTTTTGTTATATACATACACATATTTACAATATTTTACAATAATTCGTATGCACACATTGTATCTTTAAATAATCCCCAATCCAACCCTGACCAACTTGAAACAAATTCTACATATATAAGCCCTATATAAACAACACCAAGACAAATCTTAAACCAACCCCTAAATAGACCTTAAACTAACCCTAAATGGACCCCAAACCAGCCCTAAATCAACCCTAAACCACTTTTTTTTGTATAAATCCTACACCAACACTATCACACCATCCATTGAAACTATTTGGACCCTACACGCTTGTGCCTCAAGTTGCATCCTACAGGTTCAGAAGGTGTATATTGTGCATTGCATACACCTTAAGTACCACACTGAACCTACACCATTGCATGTCAGTACGTGTTGTTATTCTGTTAAGGGGGGACGATAAAAAACATGAACGAATCTCTGAAACCATGGAAAAGTCATTAGAGTCCATCAAGAAATCGATGAAAACCATCCAGACATGCCCATGGGAAAATTGGCGAAAACTAAAATGTTCCAAATACCATGCAAATTTGCTATTTATTTTAGCTCGGAAATGCCGCAAATTGAGAGATTTTGGTTCCAAAATGCAGCAAATAACAAGGAAAACTGGTTTGGACTGCAAAACAAAAAAATATCACCCCCAAAAAAACAAAAAAACATCACCCATTGTTGGCTGCAACGCGCCAGGAGAACTCCGAAAGAGTTCTGGCATCTGAGGAGTAACCAAGTCGCAGGGTACATAAAAACTCCAGCCGAAACATTTGGGGACCCTGACAGCTTGAGATTGGTTCGATTTGTAGGGTGGAAAACATGTTCCTACGCCACAATATCTTCATGTGGCGACTGCCTTAAAGATCATGACTAGATTGATCAAAATTAATGGAGAACTTGGGAAAGGAAAACCATGGCAAACCTTCTGCCGTTGAAGTCTCCACAAGTCTCCAGAACTAACGATTGCCGAGGCAAAGTGCCATGAGCGGCCCGTCCACCGACATGCCGCCCACGGACATGCGTCACATCCTGGGCTATGGACTTCCGCCGTCTCCCAGTTGCAATGGCAATGGAAAACACCCTATGGAAAACGCATGGAAAAAGGATGAAAAAGGCAATCCGTCCAATTGATACGTCTTTACATGTCTTTACACTAAAACTAAACCAGCCCCAGAAACCTCGGGATTTGATATGATCACTTTGGGGATTCGGAATTGAACAATAGGGCATGGGATTCATAGAGAAGTGGAAAAGAAGGAGAGGAAATGAAGAACTAAAATTGTTATGGTTCCTGCAATTCGGGGGGAAGTTCTGCAAAAGATTACAGTAGTTATTTCGTGTAGTTGATTTGTGTGTTTTTTTGATTCACACACACACACTTGATGCTTTCAGTTCAGCTGCGATGTTGTTCCCTATCCATTGCTTCTTTCCTGTCGTCCCCAGGGTGAAGACAGAGCGGAGCCTCCCGAGCGCACGAAGCAGAAGTAAAAGCCGCAGTGAATCTGCTTCAAGCAGCGACCCCAGGACAGGTGCAGCATGGTGCAGCGATTGAAATTGGTTGAAATTGAATACAGTATATTGATGGAAATTGCATGAAATTGCAACCTTTCAGCAATTAAAGTGACCAAGGGTTTGTTATAGTTTTTCCCATCACTCCAGCCGTTATAGCTGTTACAGGGCCTTTCGATTCTTGCACATGAGTTCCAGCTCCCTGTAGGCCAGTTGAATGCCAGCAGAGACTCAGGGAAAAGAAGTAAATTTAGCATATCAATGAGTCCCAGCTTGTCCCAGTACAGATGAAATTGACTTGTCAAATCATGTAGTTGACGAGAGGGCCCCCAGTGTGTCCAGCATTCCTTTGAGGACCCCGAGCTCCAAATGTCAAAACCTGATACGATTGCGCATGCTGCAGCCCCTTGGAGATAATCCACCATTGGGGGTTACCTGACTCGTGCAAGCTTTTCATGCAGTATTTCAATGTATTTTTTCATTAGCATTCTCTTACCGTACAAGGATGAGATGTTGAATTTTCAACCCAGCCAGTCATGTCCAGCCCCCTGAATTCGTCACCAAGGAAGGTGAACTTCACCATAGACATCGAGTCTGATGACTTTCAGATAGAGTCTTTAACTCTGACCTTCGGACAGACGGACAACTGTCCAAGGGATGCCCTGCCCAAACTGCTTGAATGGATCAAGCCAAACTATAGGCCAGTGAATCCAATGATTTTTGGGGCTGTGTGCATTGTCTTCCAATGTCTTCCATGTGTGTGTTAAATCTTATCCAAGCGGTGGTTTCCTTGGGGAGGGTACTGTACGCCATGGAGGTCGTTGCTCTTCAACTGGGCACAATCCCACGCCAACGCCTTTGCCAGCGGCAGTCCATGCAAGGACAGATTTTGGTTTATCTTTGATTTTGGATATTTTGGCCAACTTTGAACAGTTCACACGCTTGCAAGCCATCAATCAGGGATGTTATACTTGTCACCGAATTGTTGATCATTGTTGTGTGTGTGAGAGCTCTAGAAGACGGAGTGCAGAGCACAATTCGATACAAGTCAAATCAAGTCGATCCAATTTGCAGGGCCATTGCCGAAAACATCACTTTTCAGTAGCACGCGTAATCATCGTGATCCCTGAGCCTGAGGATATGCCGTCATTGCGTGGTGTCAAACTGATATCTCCCATGCAATCTGCCAACACTATCCTTGCAGGGGATCCTTGGCCAGGGTAGTTGGCACTGCCGGGTAGCATGGTGTGGAACGTGTGCGATAGGCATCGGATCGTAACCAAGACGTGTTGGGGAAGCTATGGTCCTTTTATGTCCTTTTGGACATGACTATCAAAATAGGGCACCTCGTTGTCAGCGCAGCCCAGGAAGTAATTCCTGCTGGATTTCAGGAAGTGGATGGCGGTACTGGCAGTACAGAAAACGGAGGAACAAGTTGCAGTGGCAGCGCAGGTGCCCAAATTTGGGTCCCAAGATGTTGCCGAGTTGCCAAAAACAAGACCCCACTGTGTGATTCTGCTGAGAACTTGTTTGAATGTGCATGGGTTTCAGGAGAATGGTGGGACATGCAGAATATATAATATATTTATGGAGAATATGAATATGGCTTTTGAATCGAGAATATGGTATTTGAATTGAAAGGAAGCAATGTCAAGCAATGTCAAGCACAGATCCCAAAAGGATCTAGAAGATAGACGAATAAGGGTCTTTTCCTGACATATTCCTATTCTTTTCATTTCTTTTCCTTATTCTTTCCTGACTTCGTGGATGGAAGTCCTCAAGCTGTGCCGGCCCCAGGTTTGCTCATGAACATCGAGATGCGGAAGCTTTTTGCCCACTAGCCACTAGCCTCACTAGCCTCACTAGCCAAAGGTAAGAACAGGGGATTGCGGGATGCCTGTGGATCTGCAGAAATATTGCAGCGGGATTCTACATAAGTATGAAAAGATATGAAAAGCAACCCCCTGATAGTATCGATATGTATCGATATGTATCGATATGTATTGATATGTATTGATATGTAATGCCAACATCGGATTAATCAACCCCCCCCCCGGTAGGTAGGTAGGTAGGTAGGTAGGTACCTTCTGGCTAGTTTCTTGACCACCCCTTAATAGTAAGCAACTCTGAACCATAAAAATTTGGATATGGCTTACGTCAATTAGATCTTAATAGAATTCTAGTGGATTTGTTAAAATCTCATGGATCAGAAAGGTGGTTGATTAATCGGGGGCAAACCATGGTTATTATTAATGGGGGACATGGGCTTATGGGGGGTACCCTTTGGGAGCTATCCAAACTGATGATTTTTATAAAGATTTTAATTAGAAATCGATCATTTGGGGAATAGTCATTTTTTGAATTTTTCAATGATCAACTTAAACCTTAAGTATAACAATGATGATTAAAAAAAAGGTAAAAACAAATTGGAAACAAATAGAATTGGAAATAAAAATTGTTGGATAAAAAAATGATTTCAGCACTGGTGGTTTTTTAATCGGGGGGGTTCATTAATCCTGGGGGACCACCTTTCTTTAAATTACAATTTTTTTTTGGGGCAGAGGGGGTTGATTAATACCGCGGGGATTATTAATCCTAACTTGGCATTATTGATATGTATTGATATGTATTGATATGTATTGATATGTATTGACTGTATTGATATGTATTGATAGTGAGGCATTTCAGATATCCTGCTGGATGCTGGTGTTGGAGTTGCAATTGCCAAATCTCACGGATTGCTATGGCCAGGCTGAGCTTGGAATGATGAGGTGTAATGCCATAGGAGGTGTTTTGGATTTCAGCCCGAAGCAACAGTGGCTGGACCAAATTATCCAGTCGCATGGCTTCGAGACATGCAGTTCCGGAGCCAGATGTTTAGCCAGCAAGAGTCAACTCTTGTATACATAGTTTCAAGTGGTTCCCGACAGGAATGGGTCAAAGTCAAAGTAGATGGTGAAAATAGAAAATGCATCTGTCCGGGCAATTTTCTTCATGTGATCTGCCATTGTCCCCCATTTTGACCCATTACCAGATCTGCAAAGAATTGGAAGTTGCTGTTTCACCCGAGCACATGCTAGCTCGGATCAACTGCGGCGCCTCCGTTGAGGCCTGTCCTCAATGAAACTGGTATGTCGCATGAGCATGAGTGAGAGGCAAAAAGATCAGAATGTGCTGGTTGGTTTGGGGCATTGGGTGAGAGCTGAGGCGGCAAGCGGCAGGCATGTCATGTGTGTTTTTCACACGGATTGTTTTGTTTAGATTGTTTAGTCCGTTTTCGAGGGCAAGATTTCTGGCAACAATTAGAGGACACCGAACTAGGCAGAGCCCAGGCAAGATGGAACCTGCTCAGCGCCCTACTTCTACCGCGGAACCTGCCCCTTCTCCGTGAACCTCTTGAACTACACAAAGGGCATGAAGGCCACCTTCGCAGCAAACTGCGGGGAAGCTGGGCTCAACTGTTTGGACTTCTGCCTCGTTCTTTGAGCGTGTTTTAGCATGGCCATTTGATGGGAGCTACAACTGCTTGGGGAAATAAGGTTGGATGGCCCTTAGACAGTCGATATGGGCCAGAGAAGCCAAAGCCGCTGCCAGCACGCTATCCTTCACATGCGCCGGTGATGAGCTCAGATTATTCACAATGGTTCAAACTCACATCCCATGAACCTCGGCATGACACTAGTCGGCTACAAGATTTTAGGTAGATAGAAAACAATCGCAAGCAAACACAATGCCATACCATGCCTGTTGAAGCCGGCAATTCTCAGGGCCAAAAACCTGCCTGGGAATGCAAGCGCAACTTCAATCCAACCTGCCCGGACGGCTTCAACTTTGATGGTGTCATGTGCCACGAGGCCCGGGATGGTCCTGCCATGATGCGCATGATGTGCCATGCACTGATCCCAATCTTTTGCAACAGGATGGAACCTATTTGGGTGCCAACATGTAGCTTGGACAGCAGTGCTGCGTGCTGCATTTGGCACCATCAATTTCTTGAGTCTTCGGATTCTGTCGTTTTCATTGTTCCATTTGAAATGTTTTGCATTTTCATGTCACTGGCAGTGCCTTCTTTCCGAATCCAAGGAAGAATTGCCGGTATCTCAGAGCAACAGCCTTGCCGCCGTGCACCTGCAGGGGTAAGCATCAGTTGCAAGTTTGCAAGCACAGAACCCGCAACCATCGTGCAACCCATGGTCATCTATTGCCATCGCTTCCCATTTATGTTCATTTAAAGTCACGTCATGATCATCCATATTCATCCATTCATAAGCATAGGCATCCATAGGCCATCACACACAGATACATAATGATATAATACGATATACTATTATATATATTGCCCATTGTGGATTCATTTTGTAGGGTACCCGTGCCACTTTAGTTCTCGGTCAAAGCTCTGTGAGGTGCACATTTCGATGCGAGACGCTGGACAGACGACATGAAGGAAGCCTTTGCAGCTCACTGCCATGTCTTCTGGCCGTGCGTGCAGGCTGACACTGCCCAGATTTGCCCAGTGACACAGTTGAAGCATGTTGAAGTTCCTGTTGAAGCTGGTTTCATTCGATTTCAAGCTCAAATTGGTCAAAGGATCCAGACGGATCCATACGGATCCAGAAGGATCCAAAAGACCTTGCTCTTCTCGAAGGGGCAGCAATAGTGGTGATGTCCCATGTCGTTCCAGGCCCCTGGAGCTCCTGGCCCTACAAGTCTTCGAAATGGGCCTGTGGTTCGCAACTAGTCCTGCAAGCAATAGCCGAGATGGTTGGCATTCCCACAATTTCATACAGTTTCTCTGTTATTCTGGGAGAAGCTCAGGGCACGCTTTCTGAAAGCACGCCCAAATCAAAGAAAGAGTGGCATTGTGTTGTAGCAGATTTCGATTGATTCAACCGATGTTGCCAACCAGTCACGCAGTACCTGCAAATCTAGTGAAAGTTCTGACAAGGAATCCAGAGCTACTATGGGTATCTATATGGGTTCTGTGCGGATCAAAACTATCAACCGACCCCCAAATTTTAGTGATGTCATGCTCAAAATGACCCAACTTTACCAATTTTGTGGGGCCAGCCCAACTTTGGCCCATTTCTCTATCCCAAACAATATATACATATAAATATATATAATACAATACAATATATAAATTACCCTAAATCCCATGATTTTTGTGATATACCGGTAGGCCCAGAACCAAACCACGGTACCTCCCAGAAGCGGTTGCTGCTGTGGCGTGCCCGCCGCTGAAACCACGGAAACCACGGCGCCAGACCGGTGAGGCGTGGGGAGCCGGACCTCGAAACTATCACCATTGGTTTCCCCCTATGAAAAGTTTTTTTCCCCAAACAGTGTGTCCAAACTGAGGGGTTCTTACGGTAGGTGTAAAGGCCGGTGCTTGATCAGGGTGCTCCAGCTGGGCTGCGGCACTTTTCCTGTAAATTTCCGTGTAAAGCGGCTCTTGTGACATGTTGACTTGCATTTCGATTACGCAGGCTCCCTCGAAGTGTGGGTCCCGGTCTTGGGATCGGTCTTCCTCCCCAACGTCATCCTCCTCATCATCATCATCATCATCATCCACATTATCCTCCCACGCCCCCACACTGTTTGGGGTCTCTTGCCGGGATAATTTTGACCTTTTTTGTGCCCCCCCGATTTTTTTGATGTAAAAACATGCAAGCACAAAGACCACCGGAGTCTTGGGGAATCCTATTTTGCACAACTCCCAGATTGTCCATTTCCAGCCGTCAAGGTGAAGTGCTTCCTGTAGCCATGCTGACCCATGCTGGGTAGTGCGCCAAAAAAAGGTCGCAGTGACGATAAAAAGTGGAGAAAGATGGAGAAAGTAACATGAAGGATATAGATGTCCCAAGACATTCAGGATGGCCAAAATCAGTTTGCATTCCCAATTCTCAACTTCTAGAGTATATGTGAAAGACTCTTTGAATGCGATTTGATGTCATTTTCTGGAGCTTTCCCAGGCCATCCACAGCCATCATCCAACCGAGGTGGGTGGCATTAAGGACTTGCTGCCTGGGGTCATGGTGCAGTTCCAGCTCTATGAGGCGCCAGCTCGCTGACATACCATGGTATTTGTGTATCTATGCCATGCGTGTGTGTATTTGACTGTGTTATGTACTCAACATGCACTTTTTGCAGGGCGTTCATTGGATCATACATTGAATCATTGTTTCGAAATCTGTCCGTAGGATGATGCCGGACTGGGCGCCCAGAGCTGCAGCATTTGGGACCCCAGGTTGCCTTGGAAAGGACCAGCTGATCTCGTCCATTGGATCCATCCAGTCCATCCACATCCCCAAGGGAAGGTCTCCATTTCTGTTGCAGGATTTGGCAAGGGCAAGAAGGGCAAAGGCGCGAGAATTCTTGGGAAACTCTTGGGCCACACACGATATCACAGGACCATTGTAGTTGATTAGCCAACCAGGTTTTGCTTCATATGCTGACTTTGGGCAAGCTAAGGCCAAATCGTAATCGTGGGGAATTCTGTTGCCTATCAATTTGGTGGACATATGTGGACGTGGCGCATCATTCATTTATATTCATGTCACTCTGCAGGTAAAGGAAAAGAGCGGGGACCTTACTTGCACATGGAAAGCGGATGGGTATGATGATGATACGTATGTTGCTATATGCCAAGACCTATCGGAAAGAGAACGAGAACACAAGAGAGCGCAGGGTAACAGAACAGGTGAACATTAGATAGTTTTGGACCATCCTATTCCGTTTGCGATTTTGCATATTCACAGGATGATTTGCAACATGTTTCGAATACTGCGAGGCATTGGAAACAGCATGTACTAGTTCAGAACATTCTGACTTGGGTTGATTGCTCTCGGTGGTATTGCAAGCTGCCAGATCCTTGCAACATTTTGCAACCATTCAATTTCTGGATGCTCATCAGCTCACTGCAGGAAAGGAAAAGGGAAAGATGAAAAGGAAGGTGAAGAAGGCGCTCCCATTTCAACTGTTTTCAACCACCAAGCGAGGCATTCGATGCACAGAAATATTGAAATAACAGCAGCTGGACAGCCGTGGCCACCCCCTTATATCCCATTATTGCACAATGTTCATCTATCTCACCAAGGCTAGCTGAGACCATCAGATATTGTCATCGCCAGACTATCAGCAATTATAGATAAGATATTATTAGCATGATGCCCATGGATTCCCCACTTCGTCACAACCCTTTAGACCACTGACTCACTGACCACGCAGGTGAAAAGCCAGACGGTGCCTGGGTTCGTTCAGAGGGAACCACAATCAGATCTCCGGGGCTGTAGTGAAGAACTACTTCGCGATGGGACATAGAGCAAGATGCCATTACATTCCCATCGAACTGCGCATGCTGAATCAAGCAGAATTGTATGAATATTATTAAATGGCTTCATTTGACACAGATACAGGCAGGAGGACAAGATTGGTAAGATTGATAGTGATCTCGCTTGACAGGTAAATCCTGAATATATCAACAAGTTGAATAGGTCCTAGAATAGGTCCATATAGGTCCTATATCCTAGCAGGTGCTGCACCAAAGGCTGCCAAGGCCGCGCCACCGTGGGGTGTCAGGATGGTGTCAGAGTAGTATCCAATTTGCGCATGGGCCATGTTGACATTTTTGACCATGAAGCATGGCACTGGAAATGGCTTTGTCGAGCCATTTCTTCACAGGCTTCCACTGGGCCCAAGGGGCAGAAAGGTGCGGGTTCTGTGCTCCCAATGACTCAATGATCTCAATGCGACAGGTCTGATGTCAAGTGACACAAGATCTATATACTTTCTTCATGCTTACATATCTTTACTCTACTATATATTCATCTATATATATATACACTATTCATCAGGCCAATGGTTTACAATCGGAGACTTCATTTTTGACGAGGTAACAGAGGGTAATTTGGGTGGCAGATTCTGCGGGGGCACTTGGGCCACGGATATCCGCGGACACTTGACACAGGAGATGCCGGAAAAGGCGGGCAGATGCAGATTTGTGCAGCTCAAGCTGTGACCTGTCAAGTTAGTTGATTTAGCTTAGCAGCTCACCCTGCAGATCATCCAGATCATTGAGCTACTGAGAAGGATCCACAGAGAAAATAACAAATCAATGTGGAAATTGGTGTGCCATGCTGAGAGAGGGAGATTGTTTGGCGCCCCGCAGGCAAGATGCCTCAGGCCACGGAACATCATCCTGCAGACCTCATTTTGCAGACCTTGTAGCACCAGGATGGTTAAACATGGTTAAACGGTTAAGTCGTTGCTCCTGCCAGGGCCAAGCCAAAGGTAAAGATGGAAAAGATAACAAAGGCCACCAGATGCAAAACAAGAGAGTAAGTCAGGCTTTATCCTACATTTGGATTCATGTTTCATTTATTTGTTTTATTTGTTGCCATTAGGATGCATTTGGATGCATTTGGATCAACTCGGTGTGACATGGTGTGACCACGAGTCCCGTCTTTGCAATGAACCAATTGAGTCAATTGAGTCAATTGAGCCTGTTGATGTTGTTTTTTTGCCATATGGCTTGGGAGTAGTATTGTCGTGCTCAGGTGATGCTGAGCTCACGGTTGCACCAATTCAGCAGTCTATGAACTGAATTAGGAGATGTTGTTGACGGATGTTGCCATGGCAGGCAAGGGCAAAGGTAAAGATGGCCGAAAAGATGGCAAGGGAAAGGATGGAAAAGGCAAAGACGGCAAAGGCAAAGGTCGCTCGGCAGGAATTCATCCTGGAAAGTCCTTTAGGAAATGCAGCAGCTCTCTGCAGCTCTCTGCAACCTGACCATGTTGCGGTCCTGTTCTTCTTGCGCGTCCTTGCAGGTAAGGGTGGCAGAGGCGATGGCAGGCACTGGCAACTGTCGGTGGCAAACTCATAACTGTTGAAACGCGGCCAACCTTATATAAATTGCATATAAAGTGCTAACAGTGCTTGGATAAACATAGAATCAGCGGATGATATGAACAGATTGAAGCCAATAGCAATCCTTCATCCCAGCCGCACGTGCAGTCAAAGTTTGCCCGGCTATGTAAATTTGGGGGTGCGGCGGCTCAGACTTTGGTTGCTTAGCAGTTGCTAAGGACTTATTCGTTTTGCACTTAGATATATAAATTTCGTTTTGCACTTAGATATATACATAATATTAAAAGCATTTATATAGCATTTATATAAAAGCAACATTGTTTTAACAAAGGAAGCAATATATATATAATTATATATTATATACATATATGCATATATGCAATCTATATGTAGCAATCTCAGGCAGCTTTTCTGAAAGGCCGTGACGGGCTACATCCACATTTCAGATGAGATGGGCATTGTCGCTACTAGATATTTGTGAAATCCACATGTTGAGCAAGACATCTGCGAACATCTGGTGGCCAAGCGGCTTAGGCTGATCCCTCAGGGAAAGGTGGAAAAGCTGATCCAGGCTGTCATCAGATGCCTATCCTGGCATCATTTTGGTGGGTCGATAGACATGGCTTTGTCTGAAAACGAGTACTACATTTTTGTATACCCCATTCCATCCCATGGATGATCAGCATATTTTCCAATTGCCTTATCTTGCCATTTTTTCATATATATTTTCTGGGTGTAGCACATTTTCAGACAAACACACATATAATAATAATAATACTAATAATAATATTAATATTAATAATAATAGTAGTAATTATAGTATATATATATATACATATCTATACAGTAATATATACATATATATATATATCAGACTATCTCCCCAGTATAAATTATTTGATAAACCATTTGTTGGTTATTCTTCCCTGCTATCACTGTCTTGAAGGGATCACCTCCACGCTTGACGAGCCAGGCATGCGGCAGGGCCGATCGCGCCGGCCTTGGGCGTTGAGAACTTTGGAGCCGTTGTGACGTTGTGTAGCCCAAAAAATGGCAGCATAGTCACTTGGTCAATGGGAATTTCAGGATCCTAAAATGGAGGTACGTTAGTACCATATAAGGCCATATTTTCTGGGGATATTCCCCTACATAGCCCTGAAAAATAGGCCTTATATATGGTAGGTACCTCCAATCAATCGGTTCCTGAGATGGCCGGTGGCCAATTTGGGTACTGCAGCCTATTGTCAAACCCAAACGATCAGGCCAGTTCCTGGTACCATGCCAGGCGTGAAGCTCAGAGGGGCAGTGATGGTAGGACCTCCAAAGTCGATGGCAGGTCATGGTTTGTCTGAAGATAGTTGGGATATGTTGGCATACCGAAAGTGGAATATAATTAAGATGGAATATATGGAATCCTTGAAATTGGGCTCAATGCCATTCCACATCATTTTGCTGAGACATATATGATATTGAAATATTAGAAAGCCCGTGCCGTGCAGTTGTAATCTTGATTCAGCGCTAACTTCTCTTGGTATCCCTCTCAGTGCCAGACCTTCAAGGAGCGCTGCTGCTTCGCCTTGGTTTTGGTTCAGATCGCTATATGTATAGGTCAGCAAGAGATGCCGCGGCCGCGGCAGTCCCAAAGGCTAAGAATGATGTCATATATGATCATATATGCATATTTATACATATTTTGAAACACTGTTTGTATCTGCAGTTGTGCATAGTCTTAGCATGTTACATACGGTAACCATTTTGGCTCAAGGATAAAAGGTCCGCTGCAGCTGACTTGGTTTGGGGGTCAATACTTTTGTGCATGGTAGCGGAGCTGCTTGGCGATCTAGTGATTCGTTTGGCGGTCGCGGTCGAGCTCACTTGGATCCCACTCCTGATCGGGGTCGCGTCGATCGCTTCGATCGGCGGGACCCTGGGGTGGATCCAAAGGAGGCGGAGAAGGGTTCCGAGCAGGTGGGAAAGGCTGATCCGGAAGCTTCGGAGAGTGAGGAAGCAACAGAGGTACTTCGCGTACCTAGGACACCACTTGAACCACCACGTGAATCCAAACCTCTTGCGTCGACTTAGGACGCAATGGCCCAGCAACCTGCAGGAACAGCGCCTCAGATGAATGCGCAAGAGCTCATCAACACCGTGCTGGAGTTGAGACAGGCAGTCAATGGAGGTCAACAACGTGAGGCCCAGTTGAGAGCCCAGGTTGAGCAGCTGGTGCAAGTCGGCACGGAAGCACAGCAGAGAGAACAGCAACTCAGAGCCCAAGTAGAACAGCTGACACAGCAAGTTCAGAACCCTGGACCTGGAAGTCTGCAAGCAGTGGTTGGACAAGCCTTCCAAGCCATGGCCCAAAGCCAAAAGGACCTCATCAACGGGTTAAGGCAGAAGGAGGAGAGGAACGTGACCCTCTTCGACACGAAGGGCTTGGCAAAGCCCGAGAAGTTCGACGGAAAGGAGGAGAGCGTCCTTTACTGGAGGACGAAGCTGGAGTCGTTCATCGCTTCGGTCTACCCTGAGTTCGAGTCGGTGATGGCCTGGGCGGAGAATGAGGACAGCGAGATCACGAATGCAGATCTGCTTGCAAGCTTTGGCCCAGTCAACCCGACCGACAGGACCATCGAGAACGTCGAAGGCATGAACACCCAGTTCTACGCAGTCCTGCAAAGCCTCTGTGAGAAAGAGTCGTTCACGATCGTTCGTTCAGCTGGTCGGAACAACGGATGTGAGGCCTGGAGAAAGCTGATCAAGAGGTTCGATCCCACGACAGGAGGCAGACGTCGTGCGCTGTTGCGCCACATCTTGACGCCCACGAAGATCACCAAGATGGAAGACTTGTCGTCCGCCTTGGAAGCCTGGGAAGAACAGCTGAGGTTATACGAGGCGAGGAAACGCAGTGATGGCACCAGGCACATTTTGGATGATGAGATAAAGATATCGGTGGTCGAGCACTTATGCCCGGTGGAGTTGGAAAAGCACCTACAGATGAACAGGTCGCGATACGCTTCTTACGATGATGTCAGGGGCGAAGTCGTCCTGTTTCTGGAATCTCGCCTGGGGAGCCGCATGAAAGTGGTGGATCCCGGAGGTGCGGCACCCATGGACATCGGGGCATTTGGCAAGGGTCCCAAAGGCAAGGGCAAGAAGGGCGGCAAGGGTGACGGCAAGAAGGGCTCCTCCAAGGGCAAGGGCAAAGGAGGTGCAGCGAAGGGAAAAGGGCCTGGCGATGGGTCCAAGGAAACCCGGACCTGCAACAACTGCGGAAAGGTGGGCCACCTGAGGAAGGACTGCTGGTCTGCTGGCGGTGGAGCTGCCAACAAGAACCAGCAACCGAAGTCCAAAGGATCGTCAAAGAAGAGTGGAAAAGGTGGCAGAGTGAGCAACTTGGAGGAGGCCGAGCCAGAAGCTGAGACTGCAGAAACCGGCTACTTGAGCATCGCCGGACTTGAAGAATGGAGTGAAGACGAAGAGATCAAGGCTCAGGAGATTGAAGAACCGACGGGAACTTCGAGCAGCACCTATGTGAATGTTCGGGTGGAGCCTGAGCGCTATGTGATGGTGAAATCGGAGGAAGTGTCGTGCTCCGAGCCTTGTGACTGCTGCCTGCACCTGAAGTGCCAGGTGGATCCCAATGAACGTCACTTCATTCATGAGTGTGGAGTCTGCAGCAATCATCGCAGGAAGTTGGTTGAAGATGCGACGGCGGCGGGATCGTCCAAGAGTCAAATTCGAAACCTGCTCAAGATCACTCGTCCTGAAAGCTTTCACTACCTGGTGGACAAGACCATCTGCTTGTTCAAAGGCATCACGCAGGGTGCTTTCCACAGCTTGGACGAGGACAGGAAGGATGAGTTGAGGCAGGTGCATGATCCCTTGGGGACAAGTCGAGATGAGAACGCCAGCACTCTCAAGCAGCTTGAGGCATCCAGAGAAGAGATGAGGGTCAGCTACTTCGAGAAGCTGTCGGAGCATCTGGTGGGAAGGGTGAGTCGGACCTTTGGTCAACGACCGACCCTGGAGGTGGACGGCCCGAGTCGATCCAGTGGATCGGCCGAGGCTGCAGTTCCATCTCGACCCATCGGATCAGCTTCGAGTCAGGTGATGCATCGGACGGTTGAGATGCTCGAAGTGGCCAACTTGGATGCCGAGAAGAGAGAGAAGATCCAAGAGCTTGAGAACTGTGAGGATGAAGACGAGATGAAGGTGTTGGAGACACGCATCAAGGAGATCGACGAGCGCAAGAACATCCTGAAGGAGACCATCAGGGACAACGACCGAAGGAGCAAGGAGCTCAAGAGCAAGGAAGGTGGATTTAAGTTGACGGCGGAGACTGCGAATGATCAGAGCTGGCACGATGCGCGGTACTACGCCGCTCGCAAGGCGGGTGTCACACACTCCAAGGCCTGGTCCGAAGAGAAGAAACGCCGCAAAGCCACCCTGCACCGTCGATCTGGAGCACCAGAACGTGCTGCAGAACGTCTTCGTCAGGATGAAGCCTGGCATCGTGAGTTCGACACCAAGAAGGTGAAGGATGAAGAGTATCACGATGAGACGCTTGGAGGAATAGAAACAGAGGCTGTTGTCGAAACGGAAGACGGAGGAATCAGGGTCTTGAGAGGAAATGCCCGTCCGGTCAGAAGAGGTCAGCTGAAGAGGAAGGACGCAGGCACCTTTGTGAAATCTGCGCGATCATATCGAAAGCTGACCCAAGACGAGGTCTCGAAGTTCAACACTGAGACAAAGGAAGATGAGATGAAGGTCATGAGGAAGAAGCGCACCAACTTGTTCAAGATGAGGCGACGAGTCATGACCAAGGAGCAGAAGGAGCAAAGAGCTAAGAGAGTCAAGGCTGCGAAGATGAGGAAGGCGAAGGCCTATAAGGTGGACCCCGACAATGAGTTCTACCTGCAACATCCCAAGAGCGGAAGGATGTGCGCTGACTTTCGGCGCTCCTACTGCCACAGGGGAGCGAAATGCAGAATGGGACACTCGGAGCTTGACAGGGAGATCCACTTCATCGAAAGCCGCAACACTGAGGTTGAGAAGCTGACTGGCAAGAAGCAAGAGATCAATTCGTTTGAAGAGGATGTGAACAGTTTCACTACCAGTGACGGTTGGACCAAGCTGGTGGTGAACTTCGACACCGGGGCAGCCATCACGGCTGTGCCAAGGACTTTGGGGGAGCAGGGCTTGGTGAAAGGAGACTCGAAGTCAATGCTGAGATCCTACAAGACTGCTTCAGGTGAGATCCTAGAAGACGAAGGCGGAGTTGTCGTCAAGGGTCTCAACAACAATGGGTTTGGAAGGAGTGTGGATGGAAGATTGGTCGGCGTCCACAGGATGTTGGCCAGCGGCACCGCAGTGGCAAAGAAGAACATGGTGGTGCTGGAAGGTGACAAAGGCTGGATCCTGCCCAAGTCGGGCAAGATCGCGAATGGCATGAGGGCAGCATTCAAGAAGCTCGTTGAGGCACATCCTAAGGAGGCTGACGATCTCACGGAGCTCTACGAGCACAAGGGAATCTACGTTTTCGATCTTTGGCTGAATGGCACGGCTAAGGATAAAGGTTTTGACCACGTCGGTCGAGACCTTGGAGCGGTTGATGAAGGTTTCAGCCGGCAGGCGCAGAAGCCGTAAGTCCGGGTGAGCAAGGAGAAGAGATGGAGATCTCCGGCGATGGTGGTGAGGCTGTTGAGGGGCTGAAGCCGAAGGCGTTGAGAGCTCCGACAAGTCCCACTTCCGAGGAGATCGAAGAACATGAAATTATAGGGCACTCAGTGCACCGCAGCTGGTGTGGTCACTGTGTGCGAGCCAGAGGGATGCTGGAGAAACATCCAGCAATGGCCCATGAGGAGAAGGCATTGCCCACTTTGGGCATCGACTACTACTTCTTCGGGAAGCAAGATGAAGGACTTCCCCATCTGCAAGTGAAGGATGACTGCTCAGGCATGAGTTGGTCAAGTGCGGTTCCTGCGAAGGGGGCAGACGCTTTTGCTGTCAACTTCGTTGTGGGGATCCTGAGCGAGTGTGGATACAAGCGGGTGACTTTGAGGAGTGACAATGAGCCCGCTGTGAAGTCTCTTAAGGAGGCTGTTCAGGCGGCATCGAGCGTCGAGGTGCTGCTGGAGGAGAGCAAGACTGGAGACAGCCGATCAAACGGGTTGGCTGAGGCAGCTGTCAAAGAGAGCAAGAGACAGTGCCGCGCCATGAAAAGCGCGTTCTTGGAGAAAACCAAGGCCGAGATCAATGACACTCACCCAATTTGGAGTTGGGTGGCAAGGCACGGGAATTTCCTGATGTCGCGTTACAGAGTCGGCCAAGATGGTCGAACTGCCTATGAGAGGCTCAAAGGCAAGAGATGGAAGCGGCCCATGGTGAGCTTCGGGGAGAAGGTCTACTTTCGGCCCTTGAAGAGCTATGTCGCTGGACAGGGTGACATGGAGCCGCAGCTGAAGCTGGGGCGCTATGTCGGAACACATGGGCGCAACGGTGATGTGCTGATCATGACCGTGGATATCCCCTTTGAAATTTCCACTATGATTTGGTAGGCCTTGAGGCCCTTATAAACTGGATTTCATGGGGCCATTTTATAGTGAAATTAGGTCAAATACACTACCATTTTATAGTAAACCACCTCAAACACCCCTGAAAGTTATAGGCCGGTATTTTTTGTAGATAAAACACTGCCATATTGTAAGAATATGATGAGATACTGTATCCAAGAGCCATTTTGTAAAGAGATATGTAGATATACACCACTCATTCAAGTATGTTTTGGCCAAGTTCACACACCAGCACAGCCAAGATTGCAAGAATTCCTACAACAGTTCAAAAATCGTAAAATTTTCTGGAATTCTCGCAATTCTCCGGTTGTCCCCGTAAATTCTCGCAACACAAGGAAATTCTCGCAATTCTCCGCCTTTTGCCCCTTTTCCCTGTTTTTTCATGTTTATCTTATATTTCATCATCATTCAAGAGCTAACGTCTCAAGGACGTCATGTACAGGCCATATATGCCCGATGAACCGTAGTTTTGATATGTTTTGGGTTATTTTATTCCGCTAAAACGGCTGATCCCCACAAAGCTGCCATGTTTCGTACCACAAGGAATTTAAGCCCCCAGTTGTTTTTAAAATGTGCAAGTTTCTGTTTGGAACTTTAAAGAAAAGAAGTCATTGTACAGGAACCAGACTTGAAAAAAATACAGTGAATCTCTTGTGAACTTAGGGCGGAAAAAACAACAACAAACCGTACTTCAAATAAATACCAAAATCACTGTAACCATGCCAACCCTGTAAGGAAAACCAACCTCAAAAATCAACTGCAACAGTTTGACAGCCTAGGAGACGGCAGACACCAAACCTGTCCAAAACCCTAGCAACTTTCAAGCTGGAGCTTAGATCTACATGCTAGTGCAGGTTCCACAATGTTCTTCAATTCCAAAACACATGAAGTTTCCGATGTTTCTTTCCTGCAAGGGCTAGGGATGATTTTGTTATTACGGCCGATTACAGCCTTATATTCAAAAATGTTTTTCAGTTCATTTTTCTGAAACTTAAAAGGTCCCTTATTCCCCGCCACAGGCGCCAACTTCTAGGATTCACCTCCAAAGTCTTGAAAATTCGGAACATACGAAGACATTGGAACTTAAGTTCTTTTGGCCGCTGGCAGGCGGTCACACCTAATTACGTTCCAAGGTTGCATTAAAGTCCGAAATTTGGAACTTGAGATTTTTGGCCGGACACAGGCACCGCCACAGTCGATTTTTTTTAAAACCAACATGTTATAAGTATTTATCTTGGTCCGCAGCAAACGGATTTTTTTGGTCAACACTTAGGTTCAGTTTGTTTTAATTTTACTTTTTGAACTTAAGCTTCTTGTGGGCCCGCTGCAGGAGGAAAACAAATGAATGCCCGACTCTGAACATGTGTTTCAAGATTTGCAAACGTTGGATTTTGTGGGCCTACCGCAAGCGTTTGATTTACTGTTTAAATCACAAATCATTACAAATCTGCCATTGTACTACAGGATTGATTAAAGGATATTAAAGGTATATAATTAACTAAAGTCAAAGGATGTCAAAGGCACTCGGCTGTCAGGTTGGCCTAGTCCAACAATGATCCCTTCGTGCAACAACATGTCTGTCCATGTTTTCTTGTTGTTTGAGCACGTATTTTCTGTTTGTTTCTTTTTTTTGCGGGTAGAGCTACTAATTACTTCTCAAGATCTATCGCTTGAAATTTGGATCAATTTCATTGTTTTTGGTTTGCCAAGTTTCCAACAGCAATGTAATTGTAGCAACTTTAGCCACATGTTTTGGACAATATTGGAAACAAATTGTCCCTACTAATGTTCATCAACCATGGGTTCTTCAAGGCAGCAGACATGGTGTCATAAAACTATAAAGGCATAGAAAAATCATTATAGCGGCAATTTTTTGCTACTTAGGCCGGGGGGAAAACGATGTAAGCCTCAGAGTTCTTATATTCAACAAAAAAACAATCTCTGCCCGCAAAATGCTGGGCACAAAGCCGCCAAAGAAGTGAATCGGGTTCAGAGCCAGTTCAAAGCAGTTCCAAGACTTGCTTTTGAAATCTTTTGAGTTTAACTCATGTTATTCAGAACAGGTAGTATCCAAGAACCAATCATCTACGGAAAAACAACACGTGATTTACATATGTTACATGCGAATAAACTGCAGTGACCTCAACTCTATTTTTTCAGTTTTTTTTTGCGTCAAACCTGCCTCATTCAGTGACTTTGAAGCATTTTTTCACATGTGGCGCATGCAGTCCACAAATTTGATGAATTTTGCTTACGTTGCCTGATCTTTCCTGCATAGTTGGCACATTGTTGCACGTGTGAATTCCTGCAATTTCTCCGCCCTTTCTCGCAATTTTTTCTCGCAACTTCTCCGCATATTCTCGCAACTTCTCCGCATATTCTCGCAACTTCTCCGGGTGCATATTTCGCAGGAATTTCTCCGTTTGTATTTCGAATTTCTCCGTTTGTATTTTGAATTTCTCCGTTTGTATTTTTAATTTCTCCTGTTGTAGTAGTTGTTGTTGGTTTCTGTTTGTTGTCCTATGGGCACACAGTTTTGATCACAGTTATTTAAAAAACAAGCTTGCTTTTGGCGCTCAAGGTATCTAAAACGTATCGAACCCATCATACATGGAATTACATCAACAAGCAAAGCTTCAGACTGCACATCTCCCACAGGCACGTGGCCAATGCTTGCAGGTATGGCAGTTTATCCTTGTTTTCCGTTTTCTGTTCCGTCACCGGCGTCAAAATTTCAGCACCGAACTACAAATTTGCATTGGTCTTGGAATTATATATTGCCTTTGACTGCCATCAACTTCTTGCCCGGAAACTTTTTTATCATCAAGCTCTGGAAGTCCTGAAGCAAGCCCCTCTCCATCCCGATATATCCTCCCTGATATCCCTAAGGATCTCGAAACCTGGTTCTTAAATTTAAACTTATTCTATGGAGCAAGCCACATGCCAAATCTTTACGTTTATACAGTATACATGTGCAGGTTATACTGTACATGACTCCACTTCGCATCCAAACCACTTACTATTTCTGATGTGACATTCCGTTCTTGTAGCGCGTAGTAGCCAATTTGCCCCCAAACTAAGCTACCTTGCATTAATTCTTCGTCGCATCGTCTATTTTATCACGGCTACATTACTTTTTCTTCGCTTTAGATTCTAAATCTGAAGGACTTCCATCACGTATGATGTTACAGTAGTTTAGTATGATCAAAACAAGTAAAATAAAACCTTCCAATCATTAATTTTTCTCTCTGTTTTCCATCACTTTATTGTCCAAGCCTTAAGTCAACTCTGCAGATTGACTCGACGGGCTTTAAAGAGATTAAATTGACACGAATTGTTTCTTGCTTAACCCAATGCCCTGGATGTTAATCTAAGTTCTATTCTTACCATTCCTTTTCACAAGTCAATTAGTTGCGTCATTTCCGTTGAAGCACCCGTAATCTCTATGTAAATAGGTTCTGCAACCGTCAGCCCAACCAACCAGTAACTTAAATGAATAAATCACTCCAAATTAGTTTCACTGAGTTTTACAGCCTGAAAACCATGTCATTAAATCTATTTATGTAAGTCAGGTTAAATCAATCTAAATTAAGTTCGGCTATAAATCGTTGAAACCGCAAATTATGAAATTATAGTTGTCTTCAAACATTATCCGCGGCTTAATTTAAGCCATTTTGTGAATTAAGTTGCACCAGTTTTTCTTTTTTTGCTCAAGTTAGACAGAGTCTTGAATCCAATCGACCTCCAAATATGCCAGCAGCACCCCGGAAGTAAGAACCCCATCGACGTGGCGCATTCCATACCAAAACTGCGGTAAAGGTCAATCCCACATGTATCCCTTTCGTTTTCCCAAATTCTGGCTTCTCTTTTCCTAATCGTAAGAATTCTTTGCGGTTCACACAGAATTGTACTTGTTTTTCAATGTTCCTTTGGTTTAGGCTTAGCTATTGCTGGTTATGATACAGTTGACCAAATCTATCACATTTCACTTCACTTAATACAAAATTTCACACACTTAATATAGATTAAAAATCTATCACATTTCACTTCACTTGACTTATTTTTCAGATATAATTGAAGATTAGTTGATCTATTGCACGTAATTTTGATTAAACTTTAATCTTTCGCACTGGAATTGTCTTTAAGCTGAATTAAAATTCATCACACTTAAGACGTTCATTTTACTAACTTAAATCATCAAAAAAAATTGTTGTCAAACGATCAACTTTTTAAATATTTCAGAAAAACTAAATTGAAACCGACATAATGCTACTAAAAAATGATTAAATCGTTCATATCAAACATACATGAGCAGTACACGAATTTAAGCAATAGAAACTGTCGGCGTTGCACACCGAAAACCTAACAAATGGATCTTACATCCTACCCCCAAATTCTCGCAACTGTTTTGCGAATCGCAGGAATTCCTGCAACTCCCCCAAAATCGTAAAATTTTGGCAAAATTTTAAAATTTCATTGTTTTCAGGCTTAGCTGGCATGTATACATATGCATCATATGCAATTTTGTAGAGTCCCACATTTTGTAGGGGAAAACTTTTCTCAGAACAAAGCTGGTCCGGCAGCATTTGGCTGTTTTTTCTGCTCAGCATTCCACTTCAAAGAACGAAATGGTGTCATATAAATTGTGCTTGCTTTGCAAGAAGCATCACTGTCAAAAGGACGGTTGATGCCTACAAAAAGGTATCTTTCTACAAAATGAAGGGCATGAGAAAAGCATGTCTGCGCATTATCAATTGTTTCTGAGCCTTCAGGGGTACACCCTATCTTTGGTGAAGCTGGTTCAGTGGTGAAAATTTGGCTTCTACAAAATGCTATTGCTTTTTGGGGCATCAAGGTTCAGATTGTGCCCTACCATTTTGTATCCAAGCAAATTCTTGGTGCCCATTCATTTTGTAGGCTTTTTTCAATGCCCCCCATTCTGTGTCTATAAAGGGGGGGTCTGACCCCATGGGGCTAATTTCAACGGGGATCCGTGGATGGTGTCTGGAAGGGAGGCAGCATCAAGAGAGTCCCCATCGAACAAAGGTGGGACATGGAGGACTTTGACAAGCTTCGGGGTACTCCCTGGAACTTGAGGCCGAGAATGGCGGAAGATGTGGACTCACTGCCTGTGAGGATCGCACTTCCAGAAGCGGAAGGACGGCTCACGCCGGAGCCGGCACTGAGGGACGGTGGTCCTAGGAACCTCTATGTCACGAAGAAGGACGTAGAGGGCCAGTACACCGTTGGGTGTCCTGGATGCATAGCGATCCAGACGGGATTGCCCGCAAGGTCGCGCAATTCAGAGTGCAGAACGGCAGTGCAACAGAGACTGCTGCAGACGGAAGAAGGCAAGCTTCGAGTCGAGAAGGCTCGGAAGCGCAAGAGCGAGGCAGTTGTTCCAGCAGAAGGCGGAGAACATGTAGCCTTGGAAGATGGTCCAGATGTGGAACAGGAGGTGCACGGCCCAGATGCAGTTGGGAGACCTGCTCCAGAGCGAGTTGAACCCTTGGTTCAGCCGGCTCAGGCCAAGAGACAGGCCGAAGGAGGGGAGCCCAAGAGCATCTTGAAGAAGGCAAAGCCTGAAGAATCCAGAGGCGTTAAACGCCCAGTGACGGATGTCAAGATGTCCGCTGAAGAGAAAGCAGTGAAGGTTGAAAGCAACTCTAGTCCCTCTGGAGGCGCATCTTCGTCGAGTTCGAAGGCTGCAGCCGAGGACATCTCGGCACTGCTGGAAGCAAACATGTTTCCAGGACTGGAGTCCAAGAAGGAAATCCTCGAGATCGGGGCAATTGCTATGCTCGATGGGAATTCGCAAAAGTGATGTGGCAGAAATCTACAATCCAGAACGATTTGTTTCACGAGCAAACGCGTTTGGCCTAAGGCCTGGGTTTGCCATTGACTTGTCGTTGACCAAGAACGACAAGGGTGAGTACTGGGACTTGTCAACTGAGCAAGACCAGAAGGTCCTGAGGAGGTTGCTCAGGGATGAGAAGCCACTGGTTCTCATCGGCTCACCTCCCTGCGGACCGTTCAGTCCGCTGCAGAATCTGAGCAAGAACAAGAGATCGGAAGCCGAAAACCAGGCCATTTTGGCCGAATGGCGGAAGCATCTGAAGGTCGCAACCGATGCTTATATGGAGCAGCATCAAAGCGGAAGGTTCTTCCTCCACGAACATCCTAAGCCAAGCCAGAGCTGGCAAGAGGAGGATATCAAGAGGATCCAAGAATTACCTGGCGTCTACACCGTGACGGCACCAATGTGCAAATGGCACATGAAAGCGGAGGACGGTCAAGGCGTCGGCTTCGTCAGGAAAGAGACCAATTGGATGACCAACTCCAAGAGGTTGGCTGAAGCAATCGAAGGGAACTGCGATGGAACTCATCGCCACGTCCACTTGATAAATGGCAGGGCAAGACATGCTCAAGTTTATCCCCCTCGGTTGGTGAATGCAATCCTGAAGGGAATAAGACAAGAACTTCGCGACATGGGAGAGCTGTCCGCTCTCAACGAGCTGGTGGCCGGACCATGTCCGGATGGTGCAAGCAACGAGCCCACTGAAGAGATGTGGGACTATCACGACGACAGCCAAGAGGAGATCTACGACAGTGTCACCGGAATGCAGCTAGATCCTCAGAAGGTCAAGAAGGCCCGCGAAGAGGAGCTAGGCTGGGTGGAGAAGCAGAAGATCTACGAAGAGGCAGACATCCAAGAGTGTTGGGATGCCACAGGAGCACCACCCATCACCTTGAAGTGGGTGGACAGAGACAAAGGCAATAGCAACTACAGGTCGCGTCTGGTGGTACGCGAGATCAAGCGAAAGGGGCAAGCACTTCCAGATCACGATCTGTACAGTGCAATGCCACCGCTGGAGGCACTGAAGGTGCTTTGCAGCCTGATGGTATCCAAGAAGCGCAGTGCTCGAGGAGGGGCACTCAAGATGCGCATCCTGGACATATCTCGGACGCATTTCTACGGTGCTTCGCGCCGTCCAGTGTTCACCAATCTCCCTCCTGGGAGAGAAAAGGAAGGGAAGTGTGCAAGACTTCTCAGAACCATGTATGGAACACAAGACGCTTCGAGCGTATGGCAGGAAACATACACGGAGTTGCTCAAGGAGCATGGAGTGGAAGCGGGCGTGGCATGGCCCGCGTTGTTCTACCACGAATCCACCGATTCCAGGTTCCTATGCCACGGGGACGACTTCGTGGTTCTGGCTGATGATGAGGGCCAGAAGTTCATCGAAGGAGTTCTCGCCAAGCGATTCGAGTATCGTGTGGATGGGTGTATCGGTCCAGACCCCAATGATGGGTCTGTGATGACGGTGCTCAACAGAATCCTGGAATACAACAAGCAGACCGGCGAGCTACAGTATGAGCCTGACCCGCGCCATTGTGCGCAAGTGGTCAAGCAGCTGGGTCTGGAGAACTCCAAGCCGGTGTCTACACCGTCGGAGAAGATGACCTCGAAAGAGGTGCTGGAGGCATTGGACTTGCCAGTGCTGCCACCAGAGCAACAAAGTGCCTACAGATCGATTGTGATGCGATGCGCGTACTTGTCACAGGATCGAGCTGACATCTGTGAAAGTGTGAAAACGCTAGCGCGTTTCATGGCCAAGCCAACTGAGCACAGTTGGTCGAAACTGAAGAGGTTGGGAAGGTATCTGAAAGGAGCACCAAGAGTGGTGCAGACCTTCAAGCCTCAAGAGATGTACAACACCTTGGCGGTCTACACGGACAGCGACCATGCGGGGTGCCTTTTTACCCGCAAAAGCACGTCCGGGCTGGTGGTGATGGCGGGAGGTCATTGCCTGAAAGCTAGTAGTACTGCTCAGAGCACCATTGCATTGAGCAGTGGCGAGAGCGAGTTCTACGCCATCGTCAAGGCGTCAGCGTGCGTGCTGGGGATGCGTGCTCTCTACAATGAATGGAGAATACCATTGACCTGCACGGTGTTCTCAGACTCCTCGGCAGCACGTGGCATGTGCAATCGGCGAGGATTGAGTGGCAAGACGCGCCACATTCAGACTTGGTACTTGTGGGTGCAGCAACAGCTGCATCAACGTGAGATCGAACTCCGCAAGGTCCACACAAACGACAACCTTGCGGACCTATGCGCAAAGCCTGTGGGACAAGAAGTCTGTCAGCGACACCTGACAACCCTCGGACAAAACGTTCGGGAAGGTGTGTCGGTTGCTGCTAAGACTAACACCTGAGAAGAAGCGTCGTTGGTAAAACCAACTAGCTTAGGAGGGGTGTTTGTATCTGCAGTTGTGCATAGTCTTAGCATGTTACATACGGTAACCATTTTGGCTCAAGGATAAAAGGTCCGCTGCAGCTGACTTGGTTTGGGGGTCAATACTTTTGTGCAAACACCATGAGTCATACGGTATTTTGCATGCAAGCAATTCTGGTGCATCCTAGACACTATTGAGACATTTGCTGTTTTTGTTTTTTTTAAAGGCACCATGTAACTCAATTGTGTTGATCTGAGCCTTCCAAAAAGTCAAAGCCTGTTATATATATATATATCTTAATGATTTGTCATTTCGATTAGCCAGACGCATCCTGAAAGCATTGAGCTGTATCAAGCAGCTTCTTTGGCTGGTCCTAGCCAGACTTTTCCAGCCATTTGACCATGCTGGCCACCTTCTCTGGCTTATTGCCATGCACAGTTCGGCCCGGATCCACAGTAGTAGTGAATCTTGTGCAGCTGGGTGCGGATCCATTGTGGTGCCATTGTGGTGCCAAGGATCAATGCCCTCCGCTTTGCAGAGCGTGGCCCAAAGTTGGTGAAACCAAAGTGTCATGGCACCAATGAAGCCATCATGGAAAAAGTGGCTGACTTCACAGGACTGTAGAATATTTCAGGCGACCTGCTTGGTGAGGACATTGCACTAGTTGGTCAAGTGTTGAGAATCCCATCATTCAAACCATCATTGCTTTGGATTGCTCAATGTCTTTTCTTGTTTAGCAAACACATCTCAGAAATTCTCAGAAGCCTTCTGAGGCACATGATTCGCACCTGGAAGATCCGTCCCGGAGACCTTGTCTACGTGAACAGTGGCAATGATCGGGGCAGCAGCGGCGAGGTGTTGATGATCGATCCGCGACGGAACATGTTGAAGGTCAAGGGCATGAACAAGCGGAAGGCGCCATGGCGATGTTATGCCGGTGGCCGGCAGGCTATGAATGATTGGATCATGATGGATCATGTGTATGGACTGTAAGTACTGGTATTATTGTATATAATCAGCTGCAATTGGGAGCTAAAATGTTTCAAGTATGTAGAAGTACTGTCAGTCGAATGAATTTTGGGAACGGTTTTGCATCTCGATTTGCTTCACATGGCTTGACAGAATGACCCGAGTTCGTCCAAAATCAATATCCATTTTTCAGGTCACAGACGAGGAGGGGAACGAAAAATTCATCGAGAAGAAGATGCTTTGCCATTATTTGCTACTGTATCACTTGCTGTGTCGGTTGTGCACTCTCGGAATGTCACTTGCTGCGGGGTTGGCAGATGCAATAGAGAGATAGATACCTGGCTTGCCACAATATCCAGGAGATTCCAGAGGGGCTTCACAAGAACTCTAGCCACATAGTGCCACAGTATGGGTTTGAAAGTAGGGCTTTTCAAAATTTTATGTTTTATCAATTGTTTGTCATGTTTCCATTTATCTATCTTTATTTAACATATTTTACACTTTCTTCAGACACGTCCCCCATATGCATCATATGCCGTCCCCCACGAAGGCTCCAAGGCTGTGATGTTGCTCGGATCCGGCCGCCCTGAGGATCCACTATTCCAATGTGGCCCTGGTGGACCCCACCCTTGGCAGACCCACTCGGGTGACATGGCAAGAGCCTTCTATGCCAAAACTCAGATGAATGACCTTGAAGTCCCTGAAGTGGAAGCATTCATATTTGTAATTTTGTATACAAAGCAAACTATTTGAATGAATACATTTTTGGAGGGCCATTTATTTAGGGCATTTTTTTTTTAGTTTAGGGAATTTTTTTTGGATTTCTTCCTGCTTACTCTATTGCCTCCTGCAGTGCTTCTCTGCTTCTTTGCTTCTATTCCTTTTTTTGCTTTTTTTGCTTTTCTTGCTTTTCTTTGCTTTTTTGCTTTTTTGCTTCCCTTGCTTTTCTTTGCTTTTTTGCTTTTTTGCTTTTCTCGCTTTTCTCGCTTTTCTGCTTTTCTTTGCTTTTTTGCTTTTCTTGCTTTTCTTTGCTTTTTTGCTTTTTTGCTTTCCTTGCTTTTCTTTGCTTTTTTGCTTTTCTCGCTTTTCTGCTTTTCTTTGCTTTTTTGCTTTTCTTGCTTTTCTTTGCTTTTTTGCTTTTTTGCTTTTCTTTGCTTTTTTGCTTTTCCATGAGGTGTGGAGCAACATCTTCTATCCATCTATATCCATCTATATCCATCTATATCTATCTATATCTATCTATATCTACGTATCTATATCTATCTATGTCTATCTATATCTGTATCTATATCTACATCTATGGCTGTATCTATATATCTATATACCTATATATATATCATATATCTATATAATTATCTATATATCTATATATCTATATATCTATATATATATCTCTCTATATATATATATCTATATATATATCTATATATCTATATATATCTCTATATATCTCTATATATATCTATATATTTCTATATATCTCTATATATATCTATATCTAGATATCTATATACATATCTATCTATCTATCTATATATCTATCTACCTATCTATCTATCTATCTATCTATCTATATATCTATATATCTATATCTCTCTCTATATATATACTATATATCTATATATCTATATATATATATATCTCTCTCTCTATATATCTATATCTCTATATATATATATATTTATACCACCATATATCTATATATCTGTATATATCTATCTATATTTCTTTATGTATATATACATATATCTTTATATCTATATATCTTTAAATATATATATATCTATTTATCTATATATCTATATCTATATATATATATCTGTATATATATATACCTAAAAGGTTTGCATTATCATGCGGATGATATTCAAACCCCAAGCCAACCCTGAACCAAACCTTATATAAATAGATCTTAAACCAACTCGATGATAACATCAAATGAAACTATTGTGCATCGTTGTGCCTTAACCTACATTCCACATGTTTCCAAGGTGCATGTCGTGTAGTATATACACCTTGAGTATCACATTCAACCTAGCACCTTGCATGTGAAAATAGGTGCGCCCTCCCCCCCAATCCCCCCCTCCCGCTTTTTTTTATTTAAATTCAAGCTTGCACACATTTCAATACACTACTTTGGTTAGAATATATATATATACATTGTATATATATATATATATTGTATATATATATATTGTATATATATATATTGTATATATATTGTATATATATATATATTATGTATATATTGTATATATATATATATATTGTATATATATATATATATTGTATATATATATATTATATATATATTGTATATATATATATAACAACACTAACAACACTAACAACACTAACACTAGCAACACTAACAACACTAACAACACTAACGGTAACAACAACAACAACAACACCAACAACAACAACAACAACACCAACACCAACACCAACAACAGTAACAGTAACAACAAACAACTGTTGGAATGTCAGCCTTCAGCTCCAAAATCCTGCAAGTACTGTGAGGAATGTAGCTGTAAAATGTTGCACATACGGTGGAAATGCAGATTCCAGCTCAAAAATGCTGCAAAGAGCATGGAAAATGGACAGAACATGCTGCAAACTGTTGCAAATACCGTGGAAAATGAGAGGTTCGAACTCAAAACCGTTGCACATACCGTGGAAATGGCAGTTTCCAGCTCCAAAATGCTGCAAATAGCATGGAAAATGGTGAGAACCGGAAATCCAAAAAAAATTCCCCAAACTAAAAAAAAAAATGCCCCAAACAATTTCCTACCCATTTTTAACACGCACACACAAGGCGATGAAAGAGAGAGAGAGAGAGAGAGACAGGAGAGATACGTATTATTTAAAATTATTTGAATGTTTACAAGACCTGCTGTGACAGCAAGACTTCAAAAATTGACCACCAGTTGCAATGCTTGTTACGAGGTTAACACAGTGCGGAGGGCTTTTGAATGCAGATTAAGTGCCACAGTAAAACAAGCGCCAAGTACATGAAATAATTATCATGTATAACAAGGGCCATTCCAAAAGGGTCTTGGTTTTGTACAGGTATGTCGATTGGTTTGCTTCAAATTCCTTGGAATCTAATCTACTGCTTGTTGATCCGAAAACGTGTTCGTTGCACACCAGACGTTTGCCCAGAACAGATCCCACATATCCTGCGACATGGAGGACTGGCGCTGTTTGATTTTTTGAAAGCAACAAACTCAAAGCCTCTCAACAGCTTACAAAATCTTACGAACCTAACCGCGCAAAATCCTAATTCTGGAAACAAAGCAAACGCGTCGTAGCCAGCGTTTTCGTTCATCCTCTGGTGAGAAATGCAGATCTTGGTTTGGATGTAAGATTTTGGGGTGGGCGGACGTTTGGGTTGGGGCGAACATGTTTTCGCATGTTTTGCCAACACGATGTTAACATGTTGAACCTTAATATCTTGAAAATTCTTGAGACATTTTGTTTCAATCAAAGCCGATGCATGAAATATTTGGAACTAGTTTGAATTTAGAACATGTTATCTAAAAATTCTAAAACAAGATTTGAAGCCGTTTGTGCTTTTGTGTATGTTCAACTGTTTAATATCTGTTTAATACTCTACCCAGAGCTGCTGGAAGCTCACACTTTTTCAGAGCATTCAAGCAATATCTAGTGTATATTCCACATTCTTTAAAGATTTATCATGATTTATCCCATCAATAGCAGCTGTAACCAGCTTGCAAATGGATCCAAATGGATCCAAATGGCTGTTTTCCAACCGAGGTTGGCTTAACTTTCACCGAAGATGGCGACGCCATTCGAATCTCCAAGGCCTCTGGCCACGTCATCCCCTGGCCCGATCCGCCCAAGTATTTGACGCTTGAGGAGGCCGGGTGCAGGATGCCATGGTCGAAAATTGGAAGAATTGGCTGAATAATTGGCTTAGCTACAAGCATTTTACCTGGTGAAAGCCCTAAGTTGTCTCAGGCAGCACTTTGTTGTCTCATCTCGGTGTGCCATGCGGAAGATGTGACACAACCATTGGAATGGAGTTGTCATTTGGTATGATCTTTACAGCACAACGCATAGGCACGCAAGGATTCTTAACATTGCAAACATTAGTTATATCCATTTGCCTCCCTAACAATCCCTGGGTTACTTTTATGGAGTTTAGCGGTGTCTTTTGGCTTTTGGTGGAATGGTATATTGTTACAAAATGAGGTTTAGACAAGCTCAATTCAATCTGCAAAGATCAGCAGATGCGCGAATGATTGGGCACTTTGGCCCAAGATTGCTTTGATTGGTGTTTCAATGGCAATGGAACCCCCCCGCAAGAAGCGATCTCGCAATGATGGGGTAAGCCCTTTCTTGTCTCAGATAGCACTTTGTTGTCTCATCTCGGTGTGCCATGCGGAAGAAGTGACACAACCACTGTAATGAATTACTACATGATTTGTTATTTGGTATGATCTTTACAGCACAACGCATAGGCACGCAGGGATTCTTAACATGGCCAACATTAGTTGTATCAAGTTATATCCATTTGCCCCCTAACAATCCCTGGAGCAACGTGAGTTTCCCACACAGTGTGTACACACTCGGGGGTCTTGTGATCGGTCCTCCTCCTCCTCCTTTTCCTCCTCCTCCTCCTCCTCAGTATCATCATCTTCCTCCTCCTCCACATCATCATTCTAAGCATCATCCTCGTCCTCCCCCTTGACATCATCATCCTCAACATCGTCATCCTCCACCTCATTTTCTGCAACATCCTCCTCCTCCACCTCCTCTTCCGCAATATTAATTATCATCCTTTCCATCCTCCTCCTCAACATGATCATCCTCAACATCATTATCTTCCTCCTTCTTAACATTCATCGTTATCCTCTACCTCATCATCCTCCACATCATCATCCTCCACCTCATCTTCTGCGACATTATCCTCCTCCACCTCATCTTCCGGACCTTATTGCTTGGATTTTTCGGACCTATCCACATCGTTTTTACCATTTACAGTTTTTGATCTGACGTGGGGATACGTGGGGTGGGTTCTGGCTGGGACGGCAAAATGTAATTCCGGTACCTCGTCCGGTACCTCGTCCAAAAACCTTTCCAGAGTCATGATTCTGGTATTACATCCATATTCCATATGTCTCGGATTCCGTTACAGCAGGGCAGGGTGTGATTTCAATGCGATTAATTTCAAACTTTGTTTGTGAAAGTCATCCACTCGCCTGCAAGTGTGCCATTGGGGTTTTGGCCCTCATGAGAATGGAAACCCTTTATTCTGTTTCTTATGGGCATACCAGAAGGCAAGCTGGTGATGCTGTTTCAATGCTTGGCTAAGCTTTTGACCTGGAATTGCTTTTGGCGGTGTGCCCTTGAGATTTGACTCCAAGTTGACAGGTCGTACCTTCCCATATTCTGATTCCAGATGCTAAATGCAAGCTAACAACATGATTCAAAGTTTGCAACGACTTCGTGAAAGTCTTCCATTCTCCTGCAAGTGTGCCATTGGGATTTTTTTTTGAGAATGGACACCCTTTAATTTGTTTCTTTTGAAAATACCAGAACGCAAGCTGGTGATGCTGTTTCAATGCTTGGCTAAGCTTTTGGCCTGGAATTGCTTTTGGCGGTGTGCCATTGAGATTTGACTCCAAGTTGACAGGTCGCACCTTCCCATTTTCTGATTCCGGGCATAGCTAGATGCAACTAGGAACATGATTCAAAGTCTGCAACGACTTCGTGAAAGTCTTCCACTCTCCTGCAAGTGTGCCATTGGGATTTTAGCTTTTCTGAGAATGGACACTCTTTATTTTCTTTCTTTTGGAAATACCAGAACGCAAGCTGGTGATGCTGTTTCAATTCTTGGCTAAGCTTTTGACCTGGAATTGCTTTTGGCGGTGTGCCATTGAGATTTGACTCCAAGTTGACAGGTCGCACCTTCCCATATTCTGATTCCGGGCATAGCTAGATGCAACTAGGAACATGATTCAAAGTCTGCAACGACTTCGTGAAAGTCTTCCACTCTCCTGCAAGTGTGCCACTGGGATTTTAGCTTTTCTGAGAATGGACACTCTTTATTTTCTTTCTTTTGGAAATACCAGAACGCAAGCTGGTGATGCTGTTTCAATTCTTGGCTAAGCTTTTGACCTGGAATTGCTTTTGGCGGTGTGCCGTTGAGATTTGACTCCAAGTTGACAGGTCGCACCTTCCCATATTCTGATTCCGGGCATAGCTAGATGCAACTAGGAACATGATTCAAAGTCTGCAACGACTTCGTGAAAGTCTTCCACTCTCCTGCAAGTGTGCCATTGGGATTTTAGCTTTTATGAGAATGGACACCCTTTATTTTGTTTCTTTTGGAGATACCAGAACGCAAGCTGGTGATGCTGTTTCAATGCTTGGCTAAGCTTTTGGCCTGGAATGGCTTTTGGCGGTGTGCCATTGGGATTTGACTCCGAGTTGACAGGTCGCACCTTCCCATTTTCTGATTCTGGGCATAGCTAAATGCAACCTAATAACATGATTCAAAGTTTGCAACGACTTCAAAACATGATGCATCTGAGCCGCTGTGCCTTGGGGATTTGACACCTGGGGTAACTACTGTCTGCCCTGGGGTAACTCGGTGTGCCTTGCGGTTGGGGTAACTAATGGGTAAATGGGGTAACTTAGGGCGTCTGCTAGTATGGGTCATCAACATGAAAAATTGTGATATACTCATTGATCTCATTGGAAGGAATGCCAACGATGATGGCGGGATGGCCATACCCCCATATATATAAAATACATAATATATATATATATATACACCATATGTTGACCATTGCACATGTGGGGATGGATCAAAGCCTAAAACACCATATATTTTGGATTCATAAACATATACCATTTGTAATTACAATTTTGATGCTTACCAGGGTATCATGGCCTCTATGGCGACATCAAACAATGATTCATTGCAATTGTCAAGTGGGTTTTGGATAATTCTGGCGTCGCTTTTCCCACGAACAAATACATTTGTCACCTTTGTTTGGAATTAATTACCAGGACAAAGTCTGTCGTTTACCTTGACCAGAGATCGGCCGCAGGAGCATGAGGAAGGGCCCAAGGATACACCACCAGAGGTTGCGTTGAGAAAAACCTATGACTACCAGGCTGACAAGGATGCCATGAGACTGGCACGACTCACCATGACGAAGTACAACTACCGCTGAATTTGCGGCGCGCTTTTTCTTGATCTCACATGTGGCACTCATGATGACCCGCATTGCAAAGCGTGGCAGTGCTGAAAAGGAGCAGTTTGATGATGGTCAGCACCATACTGTGCCAAGGTGAGAGAGGTTCTTGTAGGTGTCAAGAAATCTAGGAAGTGGTTCCTCTCCTGTTACCTTTAAACTGTGATGTGCTGAGCTGAATCTTGACATTGTTGTGGTTGCCAAGGCGCTCCTACCAACATTCCAGCAGAGTTTGGAACTTAAAACACTCTTAGAACTTCATGGCGCGAAGTTCGGAAGACATGGATCATTCCCAGAAATTAGGGCTGTTCATTTGAAATGTCAGATTTTCATGATGTTTCAACTTCATCACCCATGCTTCTGCCCACAGACTTGTAGCACATAGATGCTTCCTGAAGTTCTCGCCCAGGATGCAAAGAGGCATGCAGCCATCCATGCCTCAGGTGGAGCAGCTGCCACTGTCAGATTTGCAGCGTGCTGCCACTGGAACATGTAGCTGCTACAATATTTTGATGCTTAAAATGTAGCTGGCGGTGATCTCAGATTGAAGATGCTATAGATTCGATTCTTCTGTCAACGCAACTCCCGCAGGCGTTGCCTGGAATGGGAGGCGCCAACCATTCCAACCATTCCAACCATTCCAACATTGCTTGTTATGCCATTGGCTGACATGGTTCTACCATTCCAAGTGGGGCTGGATGACTGCCTGACTGCCATGAGGCTTTGGTGCCCCAATGCCTGGTTTTATGGAGGCGCCGCGATGTCGCAAAACTCTTAAATTGTTTCAACATGTTTCAAAGTAGGTGCCACCATTGCGTTGACTATCGCTGATTGTTGGTTTTTCCCTTTTGTCTCGTGGTTTATAGATTCTATAGAATCGATTTAATTATATTGTTTAATTGAGGGACTTGTTATGACTTGTTCCTAGCGGATTGATTTAGAGCCGAATATGGCGGAACACGTGATTTGCAGCAGTCTGCAGCCCTCAGCCCATCTTTTTCGGCCACGGGACTCCCGGACGACCCATGGCGCGGATGGCGCGGATCCTATTGGCATTGTTGGCCCTCGTGGTGCTTAGGTGCGGAGCTTCCATGAATCTTTGATTTTCATGGGTTCCCACTCTTAGATCTATTCCATTCCAACAATTAATGAATATGATATAATAATAATTAATAATATATAATAGTGTGTGATATAAATTGATATAATACATTATTCAATATATAATGCCTCTAGAACATCTATAATAACTATTTGATGTAAACAATATAAATCTTGTTTCCATTCGCTTTCTTTCAGATTTCACGCTCTTGCCTTTGGCTTTACATCCCTGTGGTTGCATCCGCCAGGTTTGCGCCAGCCTTCCTTCCAACGACCACGGGCACAGTACATAACAAGGTGGTTCCAGGTGCATTCGCACCCCCAAGAGCAGCACACGCGCGTCAAACACAGGTGCCTAAACTCAGAAGCGGATTGGACTGTGACATATTGTGACATACTGTGACTATATTGCAGATCAAACATGATCAAACAAATCAGAAAGGAAATGACAGGCACCTTTAAAGCCTTTGCACCTTAAGACCTTGTGGATGCTGGCGGTGCTTCTGTAGATGTCGTGATCCTTCCAGGGCGAGGGTGTCGTTGCCGTAGCTTTGCTTGGCCTTGCCGCAGTGGTGTGCAAGGCCGGACAGAATGCCATCACCTTGGGGATCCGGTTGGGGGCTTCACCAAACGTTTCACATTAAGTGAGCAGGCGGCGCAGAAATTTCCATTATACTCGCTTGAACTTTGAAACGAACTCTGTGGTCAGTGCACTGCAAAAGGCCGCCCCTGTCCAGCACTCCCTCGCTTTCAAGGCCCGCCCAAGTGCGACAACCAGCCGAAAAGGCTTTGCCGTCAGTGTGATGCCTACCGAGAGTCCAGCATTGGCAGGTGGATCTTTGAGTCACTTGGCGCGGTGCAAAGTGTCGGATGATTTGATCGATTTTGATCGTACAGGTTTGTCCCCAAAGAAGGTTTTATTCGGAAAATGAATCAAACTTGGAACCCGAGGACCCTGTTTTCAAGCAAACGCAATAAATGCACATTGGCACATGATTTTTGTATATTATTTGTCACGATTACGCACATTGTGATGACATCATTTTGGTCGCTACGATTTGCCAGGATTTGGTAAGATTGGTAATGTCATGCTCTCAGGCTATTTGGAGAAAGGCCCATATCGTACTACATGTCACCCATCTGTAATTTTTGACCAACTACATTAGCGACCACACCCATGACTGATACTGTCAGTGATACTCCAGTTAGTAATGGAGAGGGACTTCTGCGGTATGCGAGCTCTATATAGACTGTGCTCCCACTGCAGTGGGAAACTGCTTTGAACATGGAATCTTGAACCGCTTGACTTTACCAATTTTGCCTGTGAATACATATGGCCCTCCGGTGACCAGTGCAGATGGAACAGATTGATCTTGGATGTGAAATCGCGAGGCCAAGACGAGGCTCAAAGCAGTCGTGGACTAGTGGCACGTCGCAGTCTATACAGTTGCTACACCCTCTATTTTCGCCGCTGGCGCTACTATGAGGACTGCCATGCTGAGACCGAAGCAGAAGTAGCATTATTGTTGTATATTGTTGTTTTTCTTCTCATGTACCTATTCAGCTTGTTGCGTGAAATTGCCTCTCCAGGATCGTGCTCGTCGCAACTTGCGCAATCGAGCCTACAACATTTTCATGAAGCGCCTTTGTTTGGCGTGTTAAGGTGTCACAGGTTGGGAATGAATGACTTCAAACGTTTGCCAAAAGCAATCAGGACTCCTTTGTTCTGCTTTTTGTTTTTCTTTCTTTTTCTTTTGTCTTTTTCCTCTCTCTCTCTCTCTGTCCCTTTCCTGAAAATTTTTGTTGTTCCCTTGGGCTGCTTGGAAAACAAGAACTTGTTGATAATTTGCGCGTTGTGTTTTCCCTCCAAGGAACAGATATAAGAAAGCCATGAAGAAGGTGCTCCGCTACTGCGTGGAGTTGGAACACTACGACAAGCAGCCGGACAGTCATCAGCAAGTGATGGATGAGGTCAAGGGCATGTTGGATGAGGCCTGTGAGATCATTGACGAGGTCACTGTGCAGGGAGTGCTCCATCGCAACACCGCGGCCAAGCGTAAGGACCCCATGGGACTGTGGCTGTGGTGAAGGTATGACTAATTAAATCTAATTAAGGTATGTGAATCATTAGAACATTTCTCAGGTTTGAATCGGCCTGGTATTAGATAAGCTAGGTTTAGGCATGAGGGATAAAATGAAAAAAGCATTTTTTTAAATATATATATATATATATAATGCAAAAAATGTGAAGAAAAAACGCAAACAAAAAAACAAACAAATGCAAACAAATGCAAATCAATGCAAAGAAATGCACAAAAAAACAATGAAACAACTTTTGTGACAAATGAATCCTGAACCAGTGAGACTAACAACCAAAACTCTTCAGACTACATGGGTAAACTTATGCAGTCAAACATGTTAGACCAAGTTGCCTTTCAATGTTGTGATTAAAAGAATAATATTAGTAGGCCGGTTGATTCATATTCAGAAAACATGATTTAATTTAAAAATCAATTTGTCATTGTCACCTGTCATGTCAGTTGTCTGTCACCTGTCATGTCATCGTTCAGTGCCCTAAAGATGGGATAAAATGAAATAAAATGAAATAAACTGGGATAAAATGAAATAAAATGAAATAAAATGAAAAAAATGAAATAAATAGAAAATAATATAAAACATGCAACAAAGTGCTAAGGGGCTGCTGATCTAATCCTGGTTGATCTATACTTGTACCTGGAAAATTTTCCAATGAGTGAAGCTGCGGAAGATCCACTCATAAAAATAATAGGATGGTAGATGATAGTAGAATTCTTTTGTAGCTTTTTTTTGGGGCATATTTTGGTCATATCTTGTCATGATGGTCTTATCCTCGTAGTTATCATCATTATGATTTTCCTGGTTCTCCTGGTTCGGCCGGTTCTCCCGGTTCTCCTCTTCCTCCTCCTCCTCATCATCATCATCAATATTATCGGTTTCATCATGTTTGTCATGTTTGTCATTTTCATAGTCACGGTGCATTTTCATAGTCAGCGCCGGCGCAGGACCGTATGTTCCGTGCCATCCTGCGTGGCTCTGTCAAGAAGGGCCTCATGAAGCGTCCAGCTGATCCCTTCACCCCGGCCTACAAGGCGCAATTGGTGGCCAGTGGCAACGGTTGTAACCCAATTAGAATATGTTGTATATTATATATAATATTATATATATATATATATGTTATCACTTATAACATGTTATACCTGTATGACACTTTGACACGTGGGTTGTCAATCGCTTTATCCCGCTTACCAACTGGAATATCGTTCTAAGAATTCCTGGAAGTTCGTCCTTTCATCCTTTGCCAGTTGCATGTTGGAAGCCACATTTGCAACAGAAAGTGTAAACAGCTTAGTGCTTTTGCAGGCCATTGGGTACACCTTGCCAGAGTGCAACTTGATGAGGGAGCCAAGGCCTTGGCAGTTGCCAGGCTGGAAGTCTCCTTGGATGTTGAAGAGGGAAACTTGGCCAAATTTGGATGCACCGTGAACAGTCCCACAGTCAAGCACACCAGCTGTAGAGACTGGAGAAACCAAGCCGGCAAATGGAGCACACCACTGGTTGTATCATCATTTTCCCCCTCAAAAAGCAACCATTCATTGGTGATTTGGTGCATTGCCATTGGTGCATATTGGTGCATTCCCCTCATTTGCCGATATTTTTGCTTGGAGATCACCCCACTTAGTAACCCATTATATAGTACAGATATGTACAGATAGACAATGGTAATGTGTTGTAATATGTTTTAATTTGTTGTAACATGGTACAATCCATTTCTAGCTACTCGGTTAACGATTTGCTAAAAGGGATCTGGGATGGTGCCCCAAATAGCTGAGGAGTGGGAGAAATGGCGCAAGGTGAGCGGCCGCAAGTGAGCGGTGACTTCAAACAAGTCTGATGGCACCAAGATCTTGGAACATGTTGGAAATGTATGGAAATATGATAGCAAAGAAGATGTGGCACATCAATGAATATCAGATATAGTGTTCAATGAATCATGATTTTTTCATGAATGTTCAGCACAAAAAGTCCATCCCCACGATCATCAATTGTTTCCAGCCAAAATTCCAGCCCCTTATCCCCCCAAAAAAACTGAAGAGAGCTGAACCTGCCAGCTGGCAGTATTTCTCGTGTCACCTATGTCAGCTCTCTGGATTTTGCCACAGGTGCCGGCCCCAAAAAAGGACGCTCCGAACAGCTTAGAATTGGACACTGATGATGTTGAAGGCATCAGTTCGCCTAGTCTCACGCTGAACAGATAGCACCGCACATGTCGCAGTTGAAAGTGATCTCCATGCGCAGGGCAACCAGCTGAACATGCAGAATCTGCAGGATATGGGCAGCTGGATGGCAAATTGATGGAGGGATGGGAGTGGAAATTTGCCTGACAATATTATCATTACCAAATAGATGAAGTTTGATTCTTTCAACATAGCAATTTGACCAGGACTAGGATCGCCAAGAATTGTCACTAGGATAGTCTGTACTATGTCGCCATGACTTGTGTGAGAAGATCGTCCGAGGGACATGTAGATGTTCTGCAGGCTGCAACCGGTCGCATGCAGGCAACAATCCCCTGGTCAAGTAGTCAAGTGGCTGATACGCCGGCCCATAGGCAGCCATTTGCTGGAGGGCTATACATGTCCAGATACAGCAGGAACTAAGAACCATCATGAACCATCAACCGGCAATGAAGCATCAATGGCATCATCCAAGACACTCAACATTGGTGAAATTATTGAACACACACACACATATAAGAATATATTGTGTATGTGCATGCATGTATATACGCACATATACAATCATATACATATTATATATTTACATATGCATACAGACACACACGCACACATATCTGTATGTAGAAATATACATACACACACATGTATATAAATATATCATACACACATATGCATCTACACACACATATGTATATATATATATAGAATGTAGTTTGCTTGTGTCTTGCAAAGGATATTGTTGCTATCCTGAGGCCTGCAAAATCTCAACAGTTTGCAAGGACTGCCCTGCTAATATTTGCTAATTGCATGACACTTGAAGTGGTCACTAATGTCCTGATGACCTCATCCTTGCGTCACCTTTCGTGTATGAACATGTTCAAAGAAAGGTTAGATTTGTATGCTGAAGATTCTGTAGTGCGTTTAGGGTTATGCTTCGAACCTCCAACATCCTCCAACGAAGGATTGCAGCAGTTGCAAATGGGCCTGTGGCTTACAACCGACACGGGGAGTATGCAGCAATAAAATTCCAGGACACCATTTCTTGGCTCTACAGAGCCAGATCTAAATAAAGACATCAAGGTGTGATACAGGTATGATTTCATCCAATTTCATGCAATATGATCTATTCTGATCTAATGATTTCATGTGTGTTCACTGTACAGGCACGGCATGAGAAATACTGAAACGTTTGCACATCAAAGTGATTCAGTGATTCAGGCGAATTTGTTGCTCGATCCAAATTAGTTGCCTGTCAAGACTCAACTGGCAATGATCCACCAAGAATCTCTTGATTTCTTGGCTGCTTAGGCCTGCAAAATCCCGCTTTTGCCGCATATGTCCAGCAAGGTCAACAGGGTAAAGGCATGGGTGCTCCAAACCCAGCTGCCTTGACAATGCCAGGAGCTCAGGATGGGACTAATCACATACGATGTGTTGCATATCTATATCTGTCTATACCTATACCTATAATTACCTACTATATATGTACCTATATATGGTCCCGCGTCTCGTGTTCACATCCCACATATGCATATACAATCATATACACATACATCCCGCCGGATGTTTTACCGCGCATGCGTTTTGGCATTTGTTCTGAATCCAGCTTTGCATACATATACATACTAGTACACTTTTGCACATACACATGCTACATACGTATACACGCACATGTATCTACTGTGTATATATATATACATGTTACATATATATATACACTACTTGCATATACATATACATATAACTTACATATACATATAGGGACCATCACCATCTCGGGCTGGGGAGGGGGGACCGCCAGACAGTGGGCCATATATATATAATATAATATATTGCATATATATATATATACATATGTATATACGTCTTGTTCAATGTATTACTAAACTATATTTAAATATATATATATATATACATCTATTTAGATACACATACTATAATCTCATACGATCTCTATGATATAGTTTACAAGAGATACTATATATTGCATTTTACTAGATCACTGTTGTTGCATTACATATTGTTGCATTACATAGTTTGTATTATGTAGCATGGTATAGCATATTTATTACAACTTTTGCTATTAAAATGTAGTATATATACTTATATAGCATCATGTTTTCATTACACATGTACATATAACATATATATATATTAAAATGCATATCCTCCGTATGATGTCATGGCTGCAGATTTGGAGTAACCTTGCGTTGGAACTGCAGATCAGCTTCTTCAAGGCCTAACTTCGCAGATTTGCCGGCGAATCTTCGGAACCCTGCCTGGACCCCTTGCGTTGGGCGAACTCGCCGTGAGGATTTCCTCGGGATGTTGGGCGAACTGCGCAGCTCTGGTATGAACTGATATGAACTGACCTTTTTTTCGGACATCTGAGTCTTCGTAATTAGATCCTTCTGAAAAGATTGAAAAGATGGTTTACATGTGACATCATGGGACCATGAGACATCAAGGGACGTCCCTAGTTTTTTCCAGTTCGAGATTGCATCAGGCAGGGCAGCCTTTCCGTGGCCTTGCGTGGACACCTGGGGAGGTCTGTGAATTCTGTTTGTTGTTTGGGCTCTATTCAGTCGATTGATTCGTGTTTCGCCAACTATTCAAACTATCCAAACACCCTTAGTTTCTGTGGTGTACGACTGGAATTCTTCATGTTGTGATTATAATTGGATTTGTTAATACCAATCAGATCATTGATAATCAAAACCACAGGATATAGTACGAAATCAAGCATAATTCACAATAACAAACAATTCGGTCTATAATTATAATGATGATGATTTTAATGATGGTGATTTCAGCCAGCCTCTTTATGATGGCCCAGCCAAGGCGGGTCAGAGCTTCATGAGCTGACGACTTTCGGCGAAAGTCCGACCGGAACGCAGGACGCAGAATGACGCAGATGGTTGAGACTGGAGGTCTCAAAAATGATACAAAATGCTAGACACGCACGCACACACACACACACCTTAGATCTATGATACTTATGGGTTTGAGTTTTGACTTAATATCGTCATGTTTTGTCATGTTTTCTCGAACTGTGATCAAGCGTTGGGTATAGGCCAAGAATAGAAATTCAATATGAAAGATGATGATAGTCCATTGAAATTGGTGGGTGCCTAGTTTCAGACAATTTATAATCAAGGCAAGAAGTCAAGACAATTGATACACAAATGAATGAAGCATCAGGGAAATGATGCATGCCTCTGAGAACGCGAGGGGTCAGATAACAATACATACCAAAGAGATCAGGCTTGTTTAACGTTTGAGTCCTATACCAAGGAGAAATTTATCTCCATCGGGTTGCAGTTCCCTTCTTCGGACCACTGCTTAGCTCCCGCTTACATAGCTTTTGCCGCCTTTGATCAAGCTGTTCACGACAAGACCGGCCCGTGGGAATTTTAATCTGGCCAGATTTCCTTCTATGATTTCTGCGGCCAGAGGTAATCAGAACATGCATGAATGCATGAACAGCAACGTGCTGCTACATTGCTTAAACATCGTAAACAAATTGTGAACATTTGTAAACATCTTACTCTGGGACATTCTGACATCGTTTATTCTATGTGTGTCCTTTGTCTTTGAAGAATTTCCTTGCCACCATTGGCAACCGCAGAGACCATGATTGGATTGCAATGGCCACATTCCCATGGCGTCAGAGGCCAGGAGTCCTCTTGAAAAGCACAGAGAGTTTGTATAAGAATCATATTGGACAATGCACGCGTCATTATTATTGTTATTACTATTATTACAGTATATATATATATTATTCTAGTTTTGTTTTTCTTGCCACTAAAGATTCGTTTTGGGTAATCAAATCATGCGTCCCTCCTCAAAATCTATGTACATTGAGCAAAATGTCAGTTCATCAGCTAAAGACCGGCAACGGGCAGCGAGACTGAATGCAACAGGCTTCCACTGCGGCATTATTTTGTGCTATGACCTGAATTAGATGTCATCCATGATGTGACCATGTTCTGAAGCAAATCTTCATCAAATCTGAACATTAAACATAGAAGATCCCGGCGCTGCAAAGGATGGAAGCACCACAGGAAGCCAAGGTTGCCATCCGGGTGCTCAATGCAGGTTGTAGATTGGGCACGCAGAGGGCAGGAGCTCGGCCGGACGCGGACGGATGCCAGGAAGATCGCAGCGGATGGCGTTGCGGATCAAAGTGTGACAACTGGTCGAATGTTCTCGTTGCGTGTTCTCGTTGTGCTTGGAGGGGTTGATTGAACCCAACTGAGGTGTACACAAACCGAAGTGTATCTATATTTATCATATATAAGTAAGCTTTATAACACGCGCATATATATATATACATGCATATATATACATACATATAATTATACATACATATATACATAAAAGTATATATATATACACTTATATATATAATTATACATTATATATAATTATAATACATATGTATATATATAATTATAATATGTATATATATATATTGTTTGTTTATCTATAATTAAGATATTAGTTTCTAAGGTGCAGTTCAGATGTATACAAATCATGATGCACCTGCAGCGATTATTCACTACAGTTGTTCAACATCTAGTGGGTGCCTGCATTTTTCCTGGAGGGTGCGGACGGCACCGTGCTCGCTG